TATTCTGAGCATTTTCTGATGAGTAATGTGTATCAAAATAATTCATAATTGTGCTTTTTAACCCTCTTTCTTGTTTTAAATATCTGTAAAAAGGGGAAATATATTTTTTATCTTAAATATATCATTGTTTTTTGGCATTTCATGTTTTATAGCATTACTTTAAATGTGTAATAAAGAAATTTAGGCTTATTTCTCAGTTTAGTTTTTTTTGAATATTTAACCCTGATATGGCACAGCTGGATAAAATATGCAGTACGCACTTTAATAACAAGTGTACTACATGTGTACTTCTTATCCATCGTGTTTAAACCTGATATGGCACAGCTGGATAAAATATGCAGTACGCACTTTAATAACAAGTGTACTACATGTGTACTTCTTATCCATCGTGTTTAAATTCGGGGTATATATAACCTGCACAATTTATTTAGGAAAATAAACAGTTAATTTTAATGTTTCAGTACATGTAAAAACCAATCAATCTTAAAGAATATTATTTTCGTAGCAAAGATTATTTGCCAGTCAAGCGCACAGCTAGCTTCCTGCTGTTTACATTTAAGCAGAGCCCGTTCTCTCCATAGAAGGTGGTCGTGTAGTTCACGTACTGTAGGGGAACGATATGTTGGCCACTAGATGTCTCATGCTAAATTCTTATCTGATAAGATAGATATTTCTCCGTACATTTCACGACCAATATAGGAGACTTTAAGTTGTCGATCAATGTAGTTTATGGAAGGAAGGAACGGCCTCTGGATAGAAAGCATAGCTGCACTTTCATGTCGTCTGTATTATATCGGTAAATAGGCTAACCACTGAATAAAAAATAAAAATTTTAAAATTTTTGACAATTTTATTGTAAAAATTGGGTTTAGTGTTGTTTTACTAAATATTAAATATTTGTGTAGGGTTAACGTTGTAAACCTAAATTAATTATAATGTATCTATTTGAATGCTAAATTAATTATAATATATCTATTTGGATGCAAAATTAATTATAATATATCTATTTGGATGCAAAATAACTTTTTGTTCACTGAAAAAGAAACCCAGAAAAACAATCTTTTTGTTTAACAAAATTTGTTTCCTGGAAATTGTAAATTGGAAAATAAAATATCAAAAATATATTCACTGTACTGTACAAATTCACCTTATAATGATTTACAGTTTTCATAACAAATTGGTTGAATAGAAAGTTCCGCAATCTTTGTAGGATTTTGTAAGATTTTGAGCAGCTTTTTTGTGATAACTCTTTTATTTATCAATAAATTTTTAGGAAATTTTGGACTAAAAAAGAATAAACATTTTCTTAAAATCGGTTTCTGAAGAAAACATGATGTTTCACCAAAAAAGCTACTTTTTCTTATTTATTCAACGTAACAAAAAGTATGTTTGCATTGAGCTAACTTTCTTTCAATATATTTTCACCTAAGAAATGATCCCTGCAAACTTTTGTATGTGTTTTTTTCCAACGAGGTTATAGTGTATTGAGTGATGATGTACACTAATCCTTTACAATTGTATAGGCCATAAACTATACCGAGAGTGGACTGCATATTTGTTTATTATAAGGAGATTCTGGCCTAACCATATAGTATATCAATATTAGTAGACAGTTGTAAGTGTACAGTACAGCTAACTGAGCACACATGTAGAGAACTATCATCCCCCCTGGAGTTTTCACCCTGTATAATTTTAGATTTTATTTACTTTTTGATTGTTCTAATAAGAAAAAAAATATTTTAAATAAGGATTGGATTAAAGGTTGAAATCTTAAAATGTCTTCATTCTACAGTGAAACCCTTAATAATCGGAATCCTTAATAATCCTTAATAATCGGAAGAATTCATCAAATGTCGTATTCTTCACTTTCTGATAATGGAATGTTGCAAATATTCAGTTTTTTTAATTAAATGATTATATGGAACTCTTTAAAACTGTTCCCGCAAATTCATGGCTATTTATTTATTTTCTCAAATACTAAAATTTACGTAATATAGTAAAAACTCATTGAAAAATTGTCAAGACGACATTTGATAAATTCTTCCGATGTATTCGTTATTAACCCTATCCCCGCTGGGGTACTTGAAAACCAGGATACGCTGGGGGGGGGTCAATTTGACCCCCCCCTCTAAATCCCATGTTTTATGTCCAAATATGACAAATGATACATCATTAGAAAGCTCTTGTGCTCTACTTTTAGAATCTGCAAAAAAATTTGCAAATTTGCGAAAATTGAATTTTTTATCGCAAAATCCAGTTTTATAGTAAAAATGTTTGCAAAAAAAAATTTGTCCAAAAAATGACAAATTATACATTTTTGAAAAGCCCTTGACCATGCCATTTCAAATATGCAAAAATTTTTGCAAAATTTTAAATAACCTGATTTTTAATCAAGAAAAACTAAAAATGTGCAAATTTCCTTTGACAGGTTTTTTGCAAAAAATTTGCAATTTTTTTTTCGCAAAACTTGTGCAATCCGTTTCCTTATGTCATAGGCTTTCCAAAAAGCTAAATTTTATCAAAATCTGACAAGTGAAAGTGGGTCAAAACAAAGATTTAGTTTGTTACAGGCAAAAGCAGTCATTCAGGCAGTGTGCCTGAGGACTCAGGCAGTTAGTATTAAAGCCCGGTTTTAGGCCTAAAGGGAGGGCTTTGGGTATGTAAGAAAAGTCAGAAAATTTCAACAGCCTCAGACCAATACTTTTTGAGTTATGTAGAAAAAACTACAGGGGGGGGTCAAATTGACCCCCCCCCCCAGCGGGAATAGGGTTAAGGGTTTCACTGTATCATTTTTTTCTAAAAAAGCGAAACTTTTGTGGTACTAAAATTATAAATGCTAATTTGTTTTGTTAGGCTTACTTAAGAACTTTTTTCTGAGGGATAATATAAAGATAATAGATACACAAGAAGATATCTTTATTATTTCCTTGATAAAGGTTAAATGGACAATAGCTATCATTAATATAAATCTCAAACAAATCGCCATTACTGATGATTACAAAACCGAATATTTATGCAATGGAACAAGCGAGGGGAAAAAATTAATTGTTAAATTTTTCTATCTATTTCAATCTGTTAACATTGTACAATCAAACTAGCTTAAGAACCCAGCTTTTCCTTCATAATAATCATTGCATCTCGAATCCTCTGAAAATTAATCTTTAAAATCAAACTAATATTATTATCAGGTTTCTTATATTGGTCGAATCTCGAATGCATGAACAATTGAGCAACGGGTATGCATGAGTTAGGGCATGCCTAAACGAGGGCATGCAAGTATAACGTGGGTATGCATGAGATAGGGCATGCCTCAAAGAGGGCCTACACGTACGTGGGTATGCATGAGTTAGGGCATGCCTAAACGAGGGCCTGCAAGTACGTGGGTATGCATGAGTTAGGGTATGCCTAAACGAGGGCATGCAAGTACGTGGGTATTCGTGAGTTAGGGCATGCCTAAACGAGGGCCTGCAAGTAAATGGGTATGCATGAGTTAGGGCATGCCTAAACGAGGGCATGCAAGTATAACGTGGGTATGCATGGAGTTAGGGCATGCATAAACGAGGGCATGCAAGTATAACGTGGGTATGCATCAGATAGAGCATGCAAGTATAACGTGGGTAATGTATGTATCAATTAAGTAAAAGGAATAATAACGACATTCATCCCACAGTAACTTTGTGCCTTATGTTTGAACTATTTCTAGAGTTGTTAATTTCTACTTTCCCATCATAAAACATTTAGTAGAGTTTTAACACCTAGAATCTAATTGAAAAAGTTTAATGGTTTAGATATTGAATTCATTTAGAACATTGAAAGAAAATATGTAGAATTCTCGTTTAACTAAACGAGAAAAGAATTATAGGGTGTTCCACGAAACATGACAGTAGAAAGACGATTTGAAGGTCGTCTTTAATCTTCGAAAAAACTTGCGGCATTTATTCGTAAGCCTAATTTTAGAAGTTAATAATTAAAAAATTCCCCTAGTCTTGGCATTTCCTAATTGTGGTCTGCCTTTTATGTACTTTCAGCATTACCGGAGGTATACATGTTTTAAATTCATTAAACGTTAAAGACAACTTTCAAATCGTCTTGCTACTGTCATGTTTCGTGGGACACCCTGTATATTAAATTTAAACTTAGGCAAACATTATATCTTGTAAATCCAGAAGTCAGAACATTTGTGTTGTGAATAATCACTGATCTCCGTATTTTTTGTAAACCTACGGATTAATTTGAAATGTTCCTCTTTAATATCTAGTTGTTGCGTTGTAAATCAGTTTCTCGAGACAGGAACATCAGATATAACTTTCATGGGTCGCGATCGAGAGCTAAAGTGATTAGCTTTCAGTCTATACCCCCTTTCATTTTTCTTTTACAGTCCCTTTTAGTCGATAAAACTAAGCATTATCTCTTAAATAGGTATTTACTTATAGTTTTCTGTGCTGTCATCCAAGCTCTAAGACTGAACGTTTTTGAAATTTTCAAATAGAGTTTTGTAACAAACTACATTAGTCTAAAGTTAAAAATTGTTTTTTATCCGTTTTTAACCATCTTTGGCTTTCAGGAGACTTTCTAAAAATGTGAAAACCAAAAACCCTAATGAACATTAATGTTAAAAAACGAACGAAAACACTTTTCTATAAGTTTTACCGTCCAAAAATAATCTAATTTTCATAAACACCCTCGAAACTGCTTTTCATAATCTTCAGTCAAAATTTGAAGAGAAAATACAATGCATGTCAAAAATTTATTATTATTAATCTTACATAAATACAAATTTACTATAAAGTAAATTTTGATAAATAAGTTTTCTTATTTAATTTCGTATAAACTATAAAAAATGATTGAAAAATATTTTTACAGTTTGGGTTTAATATTAAATAACCCTGATAGCTAGAAGTAACAGATATTGTTAAGTGTTATTTTGTTTACTAAAACGTAATATAGATAGAAATGTTGAAATATGATGCCAAGTATCTTGGTAGACTTTTAATCTTAATTTTTTTTTTGATTGTTAGATTTGAAAAATATATAAGTACGAAACTTCACTGAAATTCTAATTTTAATTTTAATTCGGTTTAACCCTTTTGCACTAAGGGGTCATTGTTGGCTTTAGCCTGGGAAGCCGAGAGATTCTTGAGAAGATAAATAACAGAAAATCTTTAAGATCCGCAATTGTTTGACCAAGATTTTAAAAAAAATGTAATCAAAATATATGTCTTTAGTCTATAGAACTAGAACAGGCTCTAGACAAATCAAATTTTTGTGTTTCAATACAGAAGGTGAAAAGTAAAAAATGACTTTCCTGTATTTGTGGACAACAACATGCATGTCTTATACCTCAGTGTTAAAAGGGTTACATTTATTTGTCGTCGTATTTATCAATACAATGAACACTATTTTCTTTTTCAATTTTGATTTCTACAAAGCTGTGAAACCGCAGAAACAAATCAAATCAAAAAGTTGTGAATTAACAGACTTTTTTGTTTACTTCTAAACTTGCAATTTGAAAAATGCTTGTTATCGTTCAAAGCATTATTAATAAAAAATCGTCTTCAATGGTATGGTCGTCGACCACTGTAGAAAACATGAAAAAATATGAATATACATTATACAAATACTGACAAACTGAATGCAAAATATTTTTGATGGTATTATATTCTTTAAATCTATCTTCTTTCAGCTTCCATTCATTTTCAATTATAAAACTGTTCTGTTCTCAACTTATTGGGTATACTCTGGTAGATATCCTTGGCAAGCTTTCTAAAATATGAAATCACGTTTAATTCTGACTATTCACGTTGCCACAAACTAATATTTCGTAATCCTTATAACTTTGTAATCTGATATAATATATATATGTAGATAAAATAGGTATAGGGATTGGAAAATCAGAGTTTGTGGCAACATTGAATTCCTTTCACTAGAAAGTGATCATTCATTTAGCGTACTGTCCCGGGTTGAAGCGGTCTGTAATTGTACTCAGCGTGCTCTAACTGGTTAAAAATTGGCCTGGTACTGGAAATGTATTGTACTCAGCTAGCTCTAACTGGTTAAAAGTCGGCATGGTACTTGAACTGTATTGTACTCAGCTAGCTCTAACTGGTTAAAAGTTGGTCTGGTACTTGAACTGTATTGTACTTAGCTAGCTCTAACTGGTTAAAAGTCGGTCTGGTACTTGAACTATATTGTACTCAGCTACCTCTAACTGGTTAAAAGTCGGCCTGGTACTTGAACTGTATTATACTCAGCTTGCTCTAACTGGTTAAAAGTCGGCCTGGTACTTGAACTGTAATGTACTCAGCTAGCTCTAACTGGTTAAAAGTCGGTCTGGTACTTGAACTGTAATGTACTCAGCTTGCTCTAACTGGTTAAAAGTCGGCCTGGTACTTGAACTGTAATGTACTCAGCTTGCTCTAACTGGTTAAAAGTCGGTCTGGTACTTGAACTAAACCGGTGTTTACAGCTTGGTATTTTTTCATGGCCCTTTAATCATCATGTGACATAAACGATTTACAACTCCATGTAATTAACTTCGCAAATTTTATTTTTAATATTTTTAGTTTAATAATAAATTAAATTCCATTTTTTAACTGAAGTTAAACGCATTATGCTGCTAAAAATGTTATTTTTTTTAAAGAAGCCAAGAGGAACTACAATCTAGGCGGAAATCTTTATCAAATCGCACAAAAAAATTAGAAATTATAAAGAGCAAGAAAGAAAAGTTAATGGTAAATCTTTTATTTTTTTCTTCATAAAGTTCAATAATTAATGTTTGTTTTTCCTCAAGTTTAGACAAAGTTGTTGAAACTTGTTTACTCTGAGTTTTAATAAACGTATACAAAAATCTTCATGAAAAACAGCATGAAGTATCAGTCAAAAAAAAAGATTTAACCAAGTATTTTTTGATACTATATTTTTTTTTTAAGTCCTTAGAGAAACCTTTTCGCAGCAAAATTTTATTAAAAATCTCTGGTTTTGCTTGTTAGCAGGCGTGAGTAGAATAAACATCCTTTTAATCACTATTGCTTTAAAGTAAAACAAATAAAAGTTGATAGTATAGAGTGCTAGGGCAAAAAATCTAGATGAGGACGTCAAATGTCCCCTTACATTTTGTTTTGAACTTATTACTTATAATTTTCCACTCCCTCACAAAATTCTTGTTTAATCTTGTATAACCTTTGGTCCTGTCAAGTTAATTTTCCACTCCCTCTCAAAAGTCTTGCTTTATCTTGCATAATCTTTGGTCCTGTCAAGTTAATTTTCCATTCCCTCTCAAAAGTCTTGTTTTATCTTTTATAATCTTTGGTCCTGTCGAGCTAATTTTCCACTCCCTCTCAAAAGTCTTGTGTTATCTTTTATAATCTTTGGTCCTGTCAAGTTAATTTTCCACTCCCTCACAAAAGTCTTGTTTTATCTTGCATAATCTTTGGTCCTGTCAAGTTAATTTTCCACTCCCTCTAAAAAGTCTTGTGTTATTTTGTATAATCTTTGGTCCTGTCAAGTTAATTTTCCACTCCCACTCAAAAGTCTTGTTTTATCTTGTATAATCTTTGGTCCTGTCAAGTTAATTTTTTCAAACATAAAAACAATTACCAATATTTACTGAATGTGTAAATAAAACCATTTTTCTTACAAACACATTGAAACTGTAAGAAGACAACATTTAAAGGAAAAATGAAAGGGGGTATAGGATAAAACCTGAGAATCTCATTCGAAAAGATAACTATAAGACATCTATCTGATGTTCTTGTCTCGAGAAATTGATATAAAACTGTATCAAAGGAATTGAGTCTTTGTCACAAACTATAAATTTCTAATCTCTGTATCTTTGTAATCCAATGCCGTAGACCTTAGATATTTCAAACTATGAATTCTGTTAAATGAAAAATCCTACGTTTGAAAAATCAAAGGTTTACACCATCAGGTGGAACGAATATAGGTATTAGAAAATCAGAGTCTGTTACAAAGACTCAATTCCTTTGTACGAAAATTCATATATATATATTTATGCAATTTTGTATAAAAGTTGTAAAATAAAACAGATCATATTCCACAAATACGAAACCAATCTGAATATCGTCATCCCACAGAAACCGAAGAATCTCAGATTTGCTCATGTTATATTCATTTAATTTGTATTTTGCATTTTAATAGATATAATTGATAATATTAATAAATATAGTCCGTATTACGTCACCATAAGTTCAGGAAATTGCAGTGCAGTATAATGGTCGCCTGATTTCAGTCTGTATCACGTGACCAGTAAACTGCACTCTTATTAGTGGAAGTTCTTGTGACGTAATACGGTCTTTTAAATAATATTATTAATTATACCTATCAAAAATACTAAATGAAAATTTAAAAATCATAATGGGAGCAAACCTGAGATGCTCAGGTTTCTGTGGGATATAATCGTTTTCAGATTGTTTGCGTATTTGCTGAATATAATCTGTTTAAACCTAATACTTTTATACAAAATTTCATATATAAATATAGATTTTGGTATAATTTTGACACACTTTTATATCAGATACTTGTCTTATATGTATCGTTCAACGCCTGAGATTCTCAGGTTTTATCCTATACCCCCTTTCAGTTTTCCTTTGCAGTCCCTTTAATTAATTCTAAATTTATTTGATTTTACTATAAATTAGCTTTACCAGTGGCTTTAAAACCATGTTATTAAGCAAAATAGATCCACAACACTGCACAATTGCCGCGTTTCATGTTTGTTGGAATATATTTAAAATCATAAGTCGAGTCAAACATCATCTTCTGGTTTCCCAGGTTTCTTGGACCCTGTGTACCAAATAAAAGATAATTCAGATAGCAATACAAAAGATAAACATTAACCTGTAAGTTTTACTGAGCGTGGATAAATCACTGTTAGCATCTGAAAAATTCAGCACATATTTTCAAATGAAATTTGATATTAAATGCATTTTATTATTAAACTTTAAAATATTGAAATATTAAAATTTAATTTTGTTCCTCGCTATAGCTCGGGACACTATTAAAACAAAGGCTTGAATATAGAGAAAATTTCTGTTCAAAAACTTTATAACACTGCGACCCAAAATAACAGTGAATTGTAAATGGTTTTTTTATTTTGTTTATAGTTTATCTTCTCAAAGAATCTTTTTTGTCACGTCAAAGTGGGTAAATGCTTAAAAATTGACATTGATAGGAATTCTAGTTATTGTCTCAAAATTTCAAAAACGCCACATGAGCTGTAATGCGGTAATTGTTTCAAAATAGGGATATGTTCGAAAATAAAAACAAAAATCATCAAAAACTAATTCTCATACCTTATTATTGTTTAAAGTCGACATTTTTTGTTTTAATAAAGAATTTTAGCCATTATTGAAAAATGTATGGTGTAGTTATGTTCAAATTGGCTGGGATTTAAAGATATATATGGTTGAAAAAGATAACTATACAGATTTCGCCCATTTCTAAACCTCAGTGTAATAATGGGCCAAGTATTAATTTTGGAACTAATTTCCCCTGTATTTCTTAAATTTGAAGTGTTCACTTCAGGTTCTGATGTTAAAATACAAATAAAGTTTAAAGGGAAAAAACATTGTATTCTAATTCTCTTCTCCTGGTGGTTCAAGTCGATGAACGCCGCTGCACCTTTATTTCTAAGATACAGGGCTACCCACATAGAATGATACTTTGGACTTTATTAAATGTGTAAGGCATATAATTTAGCCCTGGTATTTTCATATTTGACGAATTTCAAGTCGTATTTACAGTCTCATCCTTTGTGGATATCTAGTTAAATTGATGTTTCTATCCCAACCATATTTACTAGAGATGTCAACGATAGTGTAACGTAACGTGAAATGTACGTTTTTGTACGTTACGTTACAATAATGTGTAACGTTTGGATATATTCTATATAACGTGAACGTTAAACGTTAACGTTATAGTAGCTCATACCTAACGTTAACGTTAAACGTTAACGTTAGAGGAACACACCCCCAACGTTAGCGTTTTGTGGAAATGTAACGTTATTTTTCTAATATCTACAACTTTNTTCTAATGAGTTCCTACCTATGCATCTGGTCAAAATAATCCAAAGGGAGAGACATCTCCTGTTGTCTATTCCTCTATTCATAAATAAACTTAGGGATTCAAATCAAGAAAAGGATTAAAATCAGAAAGGGATTTAACTTAAGAGAGGGGTTCAACTCAAGAGTGGGATTCAACTCATGAGAGGAATTCAACTCAAGAGTGGGATTCAACTCAAGAGTGGGATTCAACTCAAGAGAGGAATTAAACTCAAGAGTGGGATTCAACTCTAGAGAAAGGAATTTAAATTGAGAAAATTATGGTAAAAGACTCAACAAAGGGATTTAACTTGATAAAGGAATTAAACTCAAGAAAAGGATTGAATTCAAGAGAAGGATTTAAATTGAGAGAGGTTATAAACTCAAAAAAAGGATTTAACTCAAGAGAAGGATTCAACTCAAGAGTTGAAGAGAGGGATTAAACTCAAGGGAAGAATTCGACTCATTCGAGTGCAATTTAACTCAAGAGAGGCATTCAACTCAAACCCGGATCTGGCCAGCTTTGTGTAATTTGTATGGATTAATATAATAATTAAAGTAAAAGTAAGGATTCAAAAATGTATCTTAAGAGACAATTACATTCTGTTAGTTATATAGTAATATAATGGTGTGCTTAAATAATCATCACCCTTCAGTCACCACACGGTCAAGGGTAGAAGCCCCTAAAATTAGCTACAGAACCCAGGGTAATATAATTAGTTTATCTAAGTTCCTTTCTGACTCGTTGGAATGCAACTTCAGGTGATGTTTTCAGGTAGATAATAACATCAACATCAATATCAAACTCTATATTGTTTTTCATCAGCTGGTGCCTGAAATGTTACGTAACAGTTTTCTAGTATACCTACCAGCTGTCTAGTATACTTAACAGCTGTCTAGTATACCTACCAGTTTTCTAGTATACCTACATGATGTCTATTGTACCTACCAGCTGTCTAGAGTACCTTTCAGCTGTCTAATATACGTCAGCTCTCTAGTTTACCTACCAGCTGTCTAGTTTACCTACCAGCTGTCTAGTTTGCCTACCAGATGTCTAGTATACCTACCAGCTGTCTAGTTTACCTACCAGCTGTCTAGAAGATTCACTTCTCCAATTGAAAGAACTGTCCTCAGCTGTTCTACAAAGCAATAGCGACAACTCTAAAAAAGGGTAAAAACAGTGTGAATATTTTGAATGTTGCAAATTTGAATTTGAAAAAAATATTAAGATAAGGACTCATAATCTATCCAACTAAAAGTTTACAAATTTTGTGAAGAGGAATTTTCTTGTTTCTGAATCTGAATACAACCGTAAGCAATCAAATCATAAACAAACAAATTCTTTAATCGATAGCACACGAAAATCCTATGGATTACAACTTTCTCACTAAGTATCACTATACTAAATTAAAAATCATTTAAAAAGGTGATTTCAAGTTTGTTACTCAATTCCCACTTACTTGCAGACTCCGTTCCATAACCTTGACTGCTGGAGTTAGTTTCCCCTTCTGTCTTCTATCCCTGATATGATGATCAAGCATTGAACGCTGGACTAGTGATTCAAACGCCATCCCCCATCTTATAAACATTATAAATGCATTTGTATTATATTTTCCTATTTATTTTTCAAGGGCCTGTCATTGTAATTTCAAGTGAAATTCAATTTAACCCATTAGTGACGAGACCAGTAACTATTAGTAAAGTTGTTTTAGAAGGATCTTGTCAAAACAAAACTTGATTGTACTCATGAAAAAATGATATTCAATTAAATTTTAGATTTTTTTTGTACAGGGTGACCTGTAAAACATGAAAATCTAAAAAACTTTGGAATTCATAATTATTTAATTATCTTCAAAACTTTACTTTTCATGTTTTAGTTATTTAGATCTTTAAAAGAAAATTACAAAAATATCTTTAAATTTTTTCTAGCCAAAAAATTGACAATTTTATATATTCAAAACTAAATTACAGGGTGTTCTTTTGGGTTTTTTCCGAATTCAAAATCTTGTTTTTTTGGGTTTTTTTAAAATTGAAAATAAAATAAAAAACCCAATTTTGATGTTACGTCAAATATAAAATATGTTTTGAAAACAGGAAATCCTAAGGAAAGCGCAGGAAAAGACAAGACAGCATTTAGTTTAAGAAAAAAGGCACTTTAAAACCTCACCCGGTCAAAATTGACCTTCTCGTCACTAATGGTTTGAATTAAAAACAGCTCACTTCAAATCTGTATTTGATAAAAATGTGAGCGATATCTTCGTTTCTGATAATGTCTTCCATTAATTCAAAAGAAATCAGAAACAAAGATATTCAATTTTCTAGGATTAAAACATAATTATCAAATTGAATCTTGTTCAGACAAAAGTACCGTTGTAAATCTAACTTCCCACTCTATTAATGATATGTATTGAAAATTACGCCTTTGGTTTAAGAATAACAAAAATAAACAAAAGGATGGTTCCAATTTATTACATTTTTCAATAAGGAACAGTGTTAAAGTATCATTTTCTTTTTTCAATTTCATTTAACTTCATTCTTCATTCTGACTGCAGAGTCAAGCTTCTTTTCCATTAGATATTAATCTCATAAGTTCATGAAAAACTAGACTATGACGTTTTAAGATTTAAAACTTAGTTTACCTCTCCCTATTCATTGAATTCAGTCTCTGATAAGCTACTTAGAATTTTAATACCTTTTATATACTAGACTTTATACCTTTTATAGTCCTGATATACTAGACTTTATACCTTTTATAGTCCTGATATACTAGACTTTATACCTTTTATAGTCCTAATAAACTAGACGTTACTCCTTTTATAGTCCTGATAAACTAGACCATACCTTTTAGAGTCCTGATAAACTATAAACTTTATACCTTTTAGAGTCCTGATAAACTATAAACTTTATACCTTTTATAGTCCTGATATACTAGACCTTATTCCTTTTATAGTCCTGATATACTAGACTTTATTCCTTTTATGGTCCTGATAAACTATAAACTTTATACCTTTTAGAGTCCTGATAAACTATAAACTTTATACCTTTTAGAGTCCTGATATATATACTAGACTTTATTCCTTTTAGAGTCCTGATAAAATAGACTTTATACCTTTTATAGTCCTGATAAACTATAAACTTTATACCTTTTATAGTCCTGATAAACTAGACTTTATTCCTTTTATGGTCCTGATAAACTAGACTTTATACCTTTTAGAATCCTGATAAACTAGGCTTTATACCTTTTAGAGTCCTGATAAACTAGGCTTTATACCTTTTAGAATCCTGATAAACTAGACTTTATACCTTTTAGAGTCCTGATAAACTAGACTTTATACCTTTAAGAATCCTTAAAATTTAGACTTTATACCTTTTAGAGTCCTGATAAACTAGTCTGTATACCTTTTAGAGTCCTGATAAATTAGACATTATACCTTTTAAAGTCCTAATAATCTAGACTTTATACCTTTTAGAATCCTGATAATTTAGACTTTATACCTTTTAGAGTCCTGATAAACTAGGCTTTATACCTTTTAGAGTTCTGATAAACTAGACGTTATACCTTTTAGAGTCCAAATAAACTAGTCTGTATACCTTTTAGAGCCCTGATAAACTAGGCTTTATACCTTTTATAGTCCTGATAAACTAGACGTTATACCAATTAGAGTCAAAATAAACTAGTCTGTATACCTTTTAGAGTCCTGATAAACTAGTCTGTATACCTTTTAGAGTCCTGATAAACTAGACTTCATACCATTTAGAATCCTGATAATTTAGACTTTATACCTTTTAGAGTTCTGATAAACTAGGCTTTATACCTTTTATAGTCCTAATAAAATAGACTTTAAACCTTTTAGAGTCCTGATAAACTAGGCTTTATACCTTTTAGAGTCCTGATAAACTAGTCTGTATACCTTTTAGAGTCCTGATAAACTAGACTTTATACCTTTTAGAATTCTGATAATTTAGGCTTTATACCTTTTAGAGTCCTGATAAACTAGACGTTATACCTTTTAGAGTCCTGATAAACTAGTCTGTATACCTTTTAGAATCCTGATAAACTAGACTTTTTACCTTTTAGAGTCTTAATAAACTAGTCTGTATACCTTTTAGAGCCCTGATAAAACAGACTTAATAACTTTTAGAGTCCTGTAAACAAGACGTTATACCTTTAAAAATCCTAATAAACTCGTCTTTATACCTTTTATAGTCCTAATAAAATAGACTTTATACCTTTTAGAGTCCTGATATACTAGACTTTATACCTTTTAGAGTCCTGAAAATTTAGGCTTTATACCGTTTAGAGTCCTGATAAACTAGACGTTATACCTTTTAGAGTCCTGATAAACTAGTCTGTATACCTTTTAGAGTCCTGATAAACTAGGCTTTATACCTTTTAGAGTCCTGATAAACTAGACTTTATACCTTTTAGAGTCCTGATAAACTAGACCGAGAAAATCTGTTCCGTTCAGGTTTGTCCACATTTCCACAGGCTAAACAAAATACAAGATTTATGTTAGCGTATATCTTTTTTAAAATATTTTCTAAGAAGCCATTCACAACGATACCTAATAATCCTTTGCAATTAAGACCGATGGTATGGTTTTAAATTTTTTTGTCATATGAGAAAAGATGTCCGCATAATTGGCATAATTTAAAAAAATTTAAATACATTTGTTTTACATTCTTTCTTGAATGCCATTAATTAATAGCTTTAAGTGTCATCACTCCGTAAAGATCCGGTAGACTGAAGCTGCCGATGTAATTTAGATAGAGTATCATTTCATCTAATCCGTGCCAGGCCATAAAATGATATCGTAATTTCTAGTGACTCTTATTTAAAATGTTACATGTGCAAATTATGTGGTCGTTGTAATCTTTTAAAGAGAAATCATCAATATTTTAGATAATCAAACATGAATCTCTTTATTTTCTTGCTCACACAAAAATTAAATGTGTACCGTTGTGAATCGTGCATGTATTTTTTCTCAAATAAAAAGTCATTTGAAATTACGCCGACAGTCCTTTTAACTGTTTGTTTGTGAGAACCCTACCTCTTTGTACACCGATATATCCGGGTAATCAGTAAAGTACTGCAGAAGAGTTGATTTTCCAGATCCAACATTCCCCTCAACAGATATTGTAAACGGTCTACCAGATACCCTAGAGTACAGATTATACAGATATATCATTTCTCTCAATAGATATTGTAAACTGTCTACCAGATACTCTAGAGTACAGATTATACATATATATCATTTCTCTCAACAGATATTGTAAACTGTCTACCAGATACTTTAGAGTACAGATTATACAGATATATCATTTCTCTCAACAGATATTGTAAACGGTCTACCAGATACTCTAGAGTACAGATTATACAGATATATCATTTCTCTCAACAGATATTGTAAACGGTCTACCAGATACCCTAGAGTACAGATTATACAGATATATCATTTCCCTCAACAGATATTGTAAACGGTCTACCAGATACCATAGAGTACAGATTATACAGATTTATAATTTCCCTCATCAGATATTGTAAACTGTCTACCAGATACTCTAGAGTACAGATTATACAGATATATTATTTCCCTCAACAAATATTGTAAACGGTCTACCAGATACCCTAGAGTACAGATTATACAGATATATTATTTCCCTCAACAGATATTGTAAACGGTCTACCAGATACCATAGAGTACAGATTATACAGATATCATTTCCCTCAACAGATATTGTAAACGGTCTACCAGATACCCTAGAGTACAGATTATATAGATATATCATTTCCCTCAACAGATATTGTAAACGGTCTACCAGATACCATAGAGTACAGATTATACAGATATATCATTTCCCTCAACAGATATTGTAAACGGTCTACCAGATACTCTAGAGTACAGATTATACAGATATATCATTTCCCTCAACAGATATTGTAAACTGTCTACCAGATACCCTAGAGTACAGACTATAGAGTTTTCGTCACATTTTTCGTCGTCGTCGCAAATATGCGCCGTAAGAACGTCTCATATGATTCCTAAAAAATTCCACAATACTACATTCTCAGTTAAACTACCACATATTGCCGGTCACTCCCTTTCAAGGCTACCATTGTGAATCGTGCATTTTCATCTTTGAAAGTACGTTTGCACCGTCCTGTTAAATGTTTGAATATAATATCTGGAGGATAAATATTGCCTCCCAACCTGTTAATGATATTATCTGTAGGATAAATATTGCCTCCCAACCTGTTAATGATATTATCTGTAGGATAAATATTGCCTCCCAACCTGTTAATGATATTATCTGCACTAGGAAAGTATTCAGGATTCCAAAGTTCTAATCCCGGCTGAGCGCTGAGAGGATCAACCTGGATATTCCGGCGGGACGTGTCAAGGATACTTTTCTCCGGGTACCCTAGAGAACTCCACAAACTCTGATCCATCAAATCTATTGAAATATATTATAAGAATTATATTAGAAATGATTAAATAATGTATCCTAGATTCCACCTTAAAGCATGTTAGGTGACCCTCAATACAAAGATGGCAATGATCGATTCAAAAGGGTACTCTTGAAACCTTTACCTAATCAATAGTGTGAAAAATTTTGTCGTTTTTCTTTATTGGATAGTGTTTATAATGCCTATAAGGCTGCCGTAAATAAACCGGGCATCACTATCTTTGTATTTAGGGTTACTTGAGATTACGCTTACAGTCCCTTTAAGTAGGTAAAGTATTACGTCAATAGAGAAGAATGTTATTTCAACTATTTTGATCCAGATCAATTTTGTAAGTGCACCCTGTCATAAACAAACAAATTAATCAAAACAATTAAAGAAAAACATACTTTAGTATAGACAAAAATAAAGTTCTTGCACTTTAATTAAATACAAAGGATTTTTGTTGTTAATTGACTGGACCAAAAAGCCATTGAACCATCAAACACAGACTGCACAAAAAATCTATAACATGAATACATTGCAACTATAAATACATAGACTGTACAAATAAAACATTGAACCATACTCAACTTTTTCTAGCCGTTTTGTTAACGGTTATGTCCAACCCTTAAAAAATAAAAATTTCAGGTAGCCGTTAATTTTAAAGACACGAATGGAACGTTTGTTTCGGTAACAGCATTTACTGTTTTTTTTAAATAACCGTTAATGGAAACTTTTCAACAATCATTAACGGATCCAATCGTTAACGGTCTATTACATTAATAACTGCCAAAAGTAGGGGGAAAAAATTTGTTATTTTGTTATAGGTTAAAGACATCGTTAACGGTGCAGCCATTAACGGTCTATTTTAGTATAAACGACGCAAAGTGGCGAAACAAATTGTTAACGGCGCAGCAGTTAACTGTAACAGTCTATTAAAATATTGATGGCACGAAGCACCGAAGAAAAATTGTCAATGGTTATGAAATTTTTAACCCTGCGGTCTTTTGTAGTATTAAGGGCGTTAACGGTTTGTCAAGTCGTTTACGGCACTATATAGCAGTTGAACTTTATTTATCCTTGAGTAGTATCTAGATATCCAAATCAACAATATTTTTCCTATTCTAAGGAGAACCCAGATTCTTTCACGGCTCCTCTGGTCAAACTCCAAGTACAAAGGTAACGCAACCTATTCTCAGGGCTATAAAATTGTGATCACAGAAGACGACATTAAAAACAGTAAAATGTGTACAACACTTTTTTTACAAGTTTAATGCAATTTAAAGAAGAAAAAACGAAATTTGTTTTAATCCGTTCCGTTTTCGTTTTCAACCGTAATTGTTCTTTTCAACGGCTAATCCGTTTCGCGAACTTGAAAACCTCCATTCCGTTAACGGAACTTTGACCAGCCCTACTTGTATTAAGTATTGTCGTAAGCTTTTGAAATATCTAGCATATCTAGTAAAACTGAAATGGAATTTAAAGAATTTGAGCCGCGGTTTAAATTGACCAAACCCCGGTCTAAATTCAGCGCTGGCTTAAATCTTGAAACATTTGATACAATTTTAAGTAGAACCAACCATATTTAAACCGCGGCTTAAATTTGAACCGCCGCTCAAATTCTTTAAATTCGGCCACAGATTTATCATTATTAAGTGCACTGAAAATATAGTTTAAAAGTTTAATGATTGCTTAGTGATTAATGTTTAGTGATTACGTCATGACAAAAACCCAAATTGATATATTTAAAAAAAAAATCCGTTTTGTTTAGAAATGGGAAAATTCTTTTAGGTAGAATTATTCCCAATTTTTAATTTACAATCGGACGAAAATTAGATAAAGGCACTCCAATTTTAAAATTTATCCTTTTAAAACTTTTCTTGGATGACGTTTTTAATGAACTTTCAAACAAAAATACAGACTATTTAAATATAACTTTAAACCGTAAAAATAGAGTCTATAAAAAAATGCAGTTTAAAAAAATTTATTTTCTAAAAAGTAAAAGCATTAAGCATCAAATTTGAAATCCAGTATGATGTTGATCGTAATCATTTCTTGGGTGTTTTTTTTCATGAACTTAAAATAAAACCAAGACTGAAAAAATGAAGCATATATTTTTAAAACTAAATACTGTAAAAACTTTACCTATTATTTTGAGCTCTGGAGCCCCCAACAACCCTCCAACCAGACTACCCACACAAATTATCTGAATATTTGGTCAAATTAGAAAGAATGTAAAGAATTTTGTTGAGGTAGCACAAAGGTGCAATTGAACATTTACATTTATAGACTTACATCCCACTAATCTATTTATAAATTTAGCTTTTTTGTCTGTCTGTTTGTATCCAATAAACGTCAAACGGCTGAACCGATCGGGCCCAAAATTGTTGTAGCAACTCATATGACCCGATGGAAGGTTTATTGAAAGGGTAAAAGTGAAAAGTTTTCCCTAAAATTTTTTAGTTTTTTTTTGGAAATCTATCAGTGTTTACAGATACATATTAAGCAAAATTTTCTTAAAAATTTATAAAAATATATTTTTGTTTGTTTTTGAACTTAATGCAATAATTTAACTTTACCTTTATTAGCAACATTTTACAGTGGACTCTCAGGTTTTCACAGTGGTTTAAAACTTTCCTTTGTATTCACAGCAATCTGCCCTCTTCCATTCAAATATCAAAAATATTGAAATGATTAGAATATGTAGGATTAGATCATTTCAATCTATTCTGAAAGTTGAAATTCTGTTGATTAAATAGTATTGATTAAAGATAAAAACATTAAATAGAAAGTATTCTAAGAGAGAAAATATCTATACATGAACACATATAAAATATATATTAACTTATAAAAATTAAACTTGAAAAAAAATTTTAATTAATTCTTTTAAAATAATTTCTTTATCTTTTAATTTTTCTAGAAATGCCATTACATTTGGTCATTAAAAATTAAATTTTGTTTATATGAAATGTAAAAACTTTCCAATGTCTAGATTATGAACATCGATGTATCTGAGTCTAGGTACATGTAAAGTATACATATGAGGCATAATTTACAATTTTGATTAGCTCTTTACCCTTATCATATAAATCTCAAGAAGTTACTAATGGTCGATCCCCCCCCCCTCCTCCTTAAAAAATATATATATATCGTTTTTATCGGGTGATGTCAGGCGTAGGTATTTAAATAACTATTTATCTCTTTATTACAGGGAGGCTTCTTTGCGGCCCAATTAGAGGTCGAGGGAAGCCAAGGCAGCGTAATATTCATGAATATCTTAAACGGAAAACCTATAGTTTTTGAAACGATGCTGATCATTTTTAGAAATGTTTTTTAGATTTGTTAGACAATTTGCTTAAAGAATTTAACAATATGTTAATAGAGATATATTAAACATCCCTGATTAGTAAAAGGTTTAAAGGGTACCCTTGTGAATCGGGAAAACTCCCTTGAAATGGAAGGTCACTTGAAATTACTGCAGTCCTTTTACCTGGGGTGTTTCTGACGTCAGAAAATATTTAACAATGATAGCTGAGGTCGGAAATATTTAACAATGATAGCTGAGGTCGAAAATATTTAACAATGATAGCTGAGGTCGGAAATATTTATCAATGATAGCTAAGGTCGGAAATATTTAACAATGATAGCTGAGGTCGGAAATATTTAATAATGATAGCTGTGGTCGGAAATATTTAACAATGATAGCTGAGGTCGGAAATATTTAACAATAATAGCTGAGGTCGGAAATATTTAACAATGATAGCTGAGGTCGGAAATATTTAACAATGAAAGCCGAGGTCGGAAATATTTAACAATGAAAGCTGAGGTCGGAAATATTTAACAATGAAAGCTGAGGTCGGAAATATTTAACAATGATAGCTGAGGTCGGAAATATTTAACAATGATAGCTATGGTCGGAAATATTTATCAATGATAGCTAAGGTCGGAAATATTTAACAATGATAGCTGAGGTTGGAAATATTTAACAATGAAAGCTGAGGTCGGAAATATTAAACAATGAAAGCTGAGGTTGGAAATATTTAACAATGATAGCTGAGGTCGGAAATATTTAACAATGATAGCTGAGGTCGGAAATATTTAACAATGAAAGCTGAGGTCGGAAATATTTAACAATAATAGCTGAGGTCGGAAATATTTAACAATGAAAGCTGAGGTCGGACAATGATAGCTGAGGTCGGAAATATTTAACAATGATAGCTGAGGTCGGAAATATTTAACAATGAAAGCTGAGGTCGGAAATATTTAACAATGAAAGCTGAGGTCGGAAATATTTAACATGGTATTTAAAGTTAATTTAAGGGACTGTAAACGTAATTTCAAGCTACCCTACAACGGTACCCTTGAAAGCTCTGTCTGATCAAGTAATAAAAAAGATATCAATGTTTAAGTTTCTGTTAACTGTTTATTTTCACATGGGATTTTTTTACGAAAGTGACTTGCGCATTTCTTGTTTATAAAAAGCAATGGAGAAACACTTTTCAAGGAAAGGACGATATCTTCCACAGTTTTTATTAGATTAAGGTGTTAAGGGTACGGTTGTAAATCGAGCATTGCCATCTGCGCATGCAGAGTCACTCAAATTTCGCATACTGTCCCTTTGAGTTAAAACAATTAGTCGTCTCTGTTCATTAATTTTAAGATTTTACATGAGGAAGACTTGTAAAACTAAGGGTTTTATGAGACAAGGTTTAAGTTTTAGTATTTAAGTCGTGTTCTGTTTATACACTAGTTAAGTTTGAACTGCAGAGCACCTTCTTGTCAGTTTAAACTTTATATCTTGTATTTGTATCGTGTAAGCATAAAGGGACTGCTTTCTATAAATGTAATGACCTAATCTTCAAGATATTCTCTAACTTATTTTAAAGATAAAACTACACTGATTTTTCATTTTCGATTACAAGGTTACATGTTGTGTCGGTGGACACGTTATAAATAAAAAAGTAGAAAACGCGATTGATTAAATACAATTTAAACAAACATATCTAGCTTTGTTCAGTCCAGAGTAGTATCCATAAAGCCTTTCTAGAAAATAAAAGTATATTTCTAAAATTTTATCTGAATTTACCGAACGCACAACAACAAAATTCAGAAAAGAAATAAGGAAAGATTTTTTTCCAGCAGGCATGCATTGTTAAAATATCGTTAAAACCCTAGAAGATAAGTCTAAATATCTTCATTCATTTTTATTTTGCAAATATACAGTGGGATTCAAAAAACTATGGAAAGACGACATTTAAATGGTATTATTAAAAAAGCAAATAAATTTTTCAGCAGTTTGAAACCCAAATTTTAAGTAGAATTAGTCTGTGTACACTTCACGATTTCTGTGTTTTATGTTCATCATTTTACTATCCACAGTTGTATTGGTCCTACTTCCTACAGTCTTATCTACATATTATTAATAATTTACATTTGCATTCCTTGGTTCAATATTTTCAAGGAAGTAAATCTAGTTTTATTAGTATAGCCTAAAGTAATATTTAGCTCTTTTATAGATTAACAAAAGTAATCACAAAGGAACTGAGTTTTTCTGATCTTCTATTACCTATATCTTTGCAACCTGATGCTGTAAACCTTCAATATTTCAAACTATCATTATGTGATCAAAAAGAATTCATAGCTTGAAATATCAAAGGTCTCCGACATTGAATTACAAAGATATTGGAGTTAGAAATTCCGAGTTTGTGGCAAAAACTCAGTTCCTTTGGAAATCTTTCTTGATAAGCTTAATTAGCAAAAAATTAGCATTCCTTTAAAAAAAGCTGTTTTTCTGTTACTCAAAATTTGTTATTAACACCCAATAATCTAGAAAATTATTTATTCGGATCAAAGTTATAAACCAACTCTTTACAAAGGAATGCATTTTACTCCCAGAAAAATTAAAATTAATCGAAATTTAAACCCCCGGGGATTCAATTATAAACTCGAAGAAAAAATATTATTAAATAATTTAGATGAGGTTTTATCCTGAACCTAAGATTACAAAATAAATCCATAAATGGAAGCTCTTAGATTTATTTCATAAATGTAGGACGTGTTAAGTATTCATTATTTACTAAATCATTCTTTTTTATGATAATTTTTTGGCTTTATCTCTTTGTATTAAAATCGGCTTCGAACTTTAATCTTTAAAATCTCCACGGTCTACAATATACAAACATGAGTTACCCTTAAAATATCTTGGCCTATGATTTTACTTCACAAACTCACGCACTTTTAATTGTTTAGTCTTAAATATGTAAATTTTAAAACTATATAGCACTTGTTTTTAGCTTTTGTTATTTAGAAGTAATAGGCAAATTTTTATCGATTTTTCCGTGAAAGCACGCAACCCTTGGATCTCGTCTCAATATCAGTCCCACCCCCCTTCAATCACTATTTTTAAATGAGTTTTTTTAAATCTGGGTGCAGTCCCTTTCTAAGTCTGCTGCATGAAGCTTCGAAAAAAAGCTAATGGGTTTGATTCAGCAAATAACTAAGTTAAATTGTCTCTGAAAAATTTTATACAAATGAAGAGTTGTAATTTTCCATATATTAACTGCTGACAGGCACATTACAAGTGCAGCACAACTACAGTATAAACTGGGAAAGAAAAATAAAAAATGCAGACAAACTTTGAGCTTTACAAACTAAACAGAATACAAAACTTAAATTTATTTTATTTTCTAAAATTAAAATATGAAAAATTTTAGTAAGTTTTAAAACCTTTAGCTTTAAGTTTAATAATTAGAAGCATAAAAGTTAAATGATAAGAAGTAATTTAACCATGTACAGTTAAATCATAAGGAGTAGTTTATATATGTAAAGTTAAATCTTAAGAAGTAGTTTATAAATGTAAAGGTAAATCATAAGAAGTAGCTTACATATGTAAAGTAAAATCATAAGAAGTAGTTTATAAATGTAAAGTTAAATCATAAGAAGTAGTTTATATAAGTAAAGATAAATCATAAGAAGTAGTTATGTATGTAAAGTTAAATCATAAAAAGTAGTTTATATATGTAAAGTAAAATCATAAGAAGTAGTTTATAAGTTAAATCATAAGAAGTAGTTATATATGTAAAGTTAAATCATAAAAAGTAGTTTATATATGTAAAGTAAAATCATAAGAAGTAGTTTATATATGTAAAGTAAAATCAAAAGAAGTAGTTTATATATGTAAAGTAAAATCATAAGAAGGAGTTTATATTTGTAAAGTTAAATCATAAGAAGTAGTTTATGTATGTAAAGCTAAATCATAAGAAGTGGTTTATATTTGTAAAGTTAAATCATAAGAAGTAGTTTATGTATGTAAAGTTAAATCATAATAAGTAGTTTATATTTGTAAAGGAAAATCATAAGAAGTAGTTTATGTATGTAAAGGTAAATCTGAAAGAAATGGTTTATATTTGTAAAGTTAAATTATAAAAAGTAGTTTATATATGTAAAGGTAACTCATAAGAAGTAGTTTATATATGTAAAGGTAAATCATAAGAAGTAGTTTATGTAAGTAAAGGTAAATGTAAAAGAAGTAGTTTATATATTTAAAGTAAAATCAAAAGGAGTATGAATTACACCTGAAAAGGTATATATTAAGAAGTTTTTTAATTTACATCAAAAGGAGCAGAGATTTTTAAAATATTCATAGTTACAAACACCTGCACACTTTTTTTCTATGAAAATTACGTTATTATACACCATTGAATTGCTATATTTAAGGATAACTTATCTAAACTTTCAGATCGCTCTATCTAAAGAGTTTTAAATTCTCATCCTTTCTGGATACCTCTAATGTAAAGCTAATTCATAAAGAGCCTTTTATTCGTGTGAATTTTAATAATAGGCAATTTGTATCTTTATACTAAAGCTCTTCGCTCAAATATGTATATTTTTATGTATATTTGTTTGTTAGGTATAGCTGGCCAAACGGCTGGACCAAATTGGCTGACATTTTTTTAGGTAACCCATGGATAGCCCGGGGGTAACACAGTGTTAAAAAAAGTTTTTTTTTTTTAAATTTCATAGGCATCGCCGGGGCAGCTAGAGTTACATAAAGTATGTATAATAAGAATTTGACGAATTATAAATAATCGCATCAATACTTGTTTTCCCTCCGGAAATATCTGAGCAGTCCTTTTAAAAACAACGACCTATCTGGCCATCTGCTCACGAGTGCATGAATCTGTGAGGGTGTGTTGACCTACTCAGCAAGAAGAAAGCTCCCTCTTGGCATAGTTAATACCGCTCTGCACACTAATCTACTTACAGTCATATTCTGACTTTTCAATCAAGTGAAACATCCTGAATTAAGATTATATTTACAAGTGTGACGTGAATAAAACGGATATTTATTTAGAAATTTTTTTAATTCAGTCATCCGCTAATAAGAATACATTTTTACTTTTTAATCAATTTTTCATCGATATTCTCTCTACTATATATCTGGGAAGGTGGAGAACAAGGGAGGGGGGTCAGTACTTTATAGTGTAATTACATGTGATGTATATGCAAATATGGCAATGTCCGATTCAAAACGATACCCTTGATAGCTTTGTCTGATCAAACATAAATAAGATATTACTGTTTATAATTTTAAAAGTTGATTATTTTAAATTTTAATTACAAGAAAACAACATTATTGGAATTAAACGCAGTATTCATTAGAAACCATTGTGAATCGTTGATTGCAATATTTGCGTGAAGGGATCGAATTGAAATTTCGCTTACAATCTAACAGTTGAAGTGTCGAGGTCGGAGCCAATTTCAACTCAGTAGCTCCTTCGATTCTTCAAAGGAGTTAAGTTTTTGCCACAAACTCCAATCTTCTAATCACGTTATCTTTGCAACCGGATGCTGAAAACCTTTAATATTTTAAACTTAGAATATTCGATCTGTCAGAATTCTTAGTTTGAAATGTCAAAGGTCTACAAGAACGGGTTGCAGAGATACAGGGATTAAAAAATCAGAGTTTGTGGCAAAAACTCCTTTTGATGAATGATACATTTTATCTGACAAAACTTGCGATTAATGCTATTAAGTTGAATTCGGCTCCGGTGCTCTAACAAATTTTGATTTCTTAGAGTATACAGTCCCTTTCTCCCTTTTACATTTTCTCCAGTTTCATCTCATCTTTTACTCTTTTTTTGGTTGAAGGAAGAGGGGGGGGGGGACTTATCGTCTTCTAGCCCAAACCTCACAGACACTTTTCAGAAAATATTTATAATGGTGTGTACAGTGTGTGGGAGCACTCCTGCAGCTCCTTGTGGAGGGTGTGGTAATGTGTCCTACTGTGGTAAGGTAGGGATGGTAATGTGTCCTACTGTGGTAAGGTAGGGGTGGTAATGTGTCCTGCTGTGGTAAGGTAGGTGTGGTAATATGATGTAATGTGATGCTTAATTGTTCATTCTATTTAACAAATGAAAAATAAGTAATCACAGAGACGAGCAAACTAGCCTTTATTTCTATTATTAATATAAGTTTGTTATTTTTTATGTTACTCTTCAAGTTGCTTTTTTTTCCTACATCATATGAAACTAAAATTTCGCAAACTTTTCTGTTTTTATTGATGAATCTCAATAAATTTTAAAAATCTAAATTTTTACTGTAAGATTTATAAATTGTGACCGGTAATAAACTTTTCCAATGATGATGTGTGTTGGGTCTGATCGGATCAGCCGCTTTGACGTTTATTGGATACAAAATAGCAGGGATACAAAATAGCAGACAAGAAGTGGTGTTCAAACAAGGTTAACAGTATATATGAGTAGGATAAGAAATATATAGTCTAAATCATGTCAATGTTTACTTGAAACATTTGAATTTTTTATTGAATATGATCAAAAATGTATCAAAAATCTTGTCTGAATACAGTTTTATAACTGTTTACATTTGCATGTCTAAAGATTGAGGAAAGGATATATATTCTGATGTTGATATGTCAAAAAAAGCTTTCTAGGAATTGCAAATAATACTGCAAAGTTTAGTCTTATAAAGATCTTTAGTGGTTTTTCTTTTTGATTCATCTTAAGGATAGAGTCTGAAATGAAAGCTTACTGAGAAGTTTGATCAAGGATTTCTATAGAAGTCTTAAAATTTAGAATTTCGATGAAGTATTCAATAGATAAAATACGTCGACCTTCTATCTAATAGTCCCCCCCCCATCCTCCCCAAAACATTTGTATTTATACCCAATAAAGGCTGAGGAGTCTGAATCTTAATAATGACTCCCCTCCCCACACTCCCTAAAAATGTTTTAGATTAAAGGTATGAATTTGAAATACATGTTTATGAGCCCAATTTTTCAATGCCAGCTGTTTAAAAAACAGATCCCTACGTACCATTAATGGTTCAGGGGCCTGGAAGATTTTAAAAAAATTACAAAAACAGGTCGAAAGTTGTAAAAATTTTCAAAATGTAAACTTTTCATCTGTAACTGAAGTAAAAAATTATAGTTGCTATTTTAATTTTTTTTTTCCCCATCCTGTAGCCTAGAAGGGCGTTGTGCGGAACGGCTCCTCGGAAAACATGTTTACCTCACAACAATATCGTATATGATTTCTCTTAAATAAAAATTACGAAATGATAGCTTTTGAATAGTTTCAATGGGTCTTATTATTTGTAGTAAGTGATATACCCTGAAATCTAGCAGGACAGTGCACAGGTGGGTATATGTCTCTAAATTTTCAGTTTATATATTTTATAATTCAAACAGGCGTATCACTGGCGCTGCTTTTGTGACTGTATTTTGTGTTGCATCCAATAAACGTAAAAATAGATGAATCGATCTGGATTAAATTCATAATTGGAGATCTGTTTTCTTCCGATGCTGGTTTTTAATATTTCTGTTATTTAGGAGTGTCAGAAGAAGGTTTGGAAGACACATAAACCAATATGTAAAAACTACAAGGAATGCCATTGTTTTTATAATAATTAAATAATTTGGTTTATGATCAAACTTTAGTCAGACGATTTATATATGATCAATTTACCATATAAGGATCAAGGGGTACATTAAAGATCATGATTTTAATTAGTGAGACCAATATTAAAGAAATTTCAGATATTTTAAACCTAAATGATGATTATGTTTTCAGGCGTATGTATTTTGTTATATAAGCGAATGCAAATTCTTAATTCATTATTTTGATATTCAAAATATTCTAATTACGTCATAAAGCTGCAATGCTTGCAAATATCTCAGATTTCATATTTTACTGCTGGGGGAGAAATGTAAAAGGGGAATAATTGTCGTCTCCTGTATTTCTTTTATAATTAGAAATGATCGATTATCTTAAACCAAAATAAACTTCTGGAAACTAATCGTGTATTGTGGATATCGAGATCAAGTGTTGTAGATGTAGTGTTGACATCTCTGGACAAATTTCCGCATACAAAAGTTCAACAGTGTTTTAAAATTCATATTTATTATCATATCATTAAACATTAAAATTAATTTTGCACTCTGGTTCAAGATGTATATTTATATGTATTTTTTTACTTTACCATCAATTATGCACAATGGTTCAATATAAAACTTACATGTATTATTAAACATTAAAATCAATTATGTACACTGGTTCGCGATGCGTATTTACCATCAATGATGCACAGTGATTCAAGATACAAATTTACATGCATTATTTAGAATAACAATCAATTATGCAAACTGGTTCAAGAATCATAATTTCATTGAGATCCATAAAACTGTGGAATAGTAAGATGACTGTTAGACTCATATAGTTATAACCCTAGATAGTCCTGTTAAAGTGAAACACAGGAATTGCGCTGAGACCCAGGAGACTTATGTGTTATAAGTTTATGATTTTTGAGATGCTGGTAAACTTATTTATTTTATAAGAAGATTATTATTTATTTTAGAATTAGGTTAGGTTTAGACACTTTCTGAGCTACGCGCTGCGGCTAGGACAGGCAAGGGGGGCCGAGCGCTGCGGCTAGGACAGACCAGGGGGCCGATCGCCACGGCTAGAACTGACTCTCTCTCTGTCATATAATTTGATGCGGCATTGCCGAGTAATACAGATTGGCCACTGCCTCCGTTCCATGGACACGACAGTCGCCGTTGGAGGCGACAGTCGTGTTGAATAAGATCTAATTTATCATTCTATCAACTATAGTATGTACTATGTACTGTACTGTATATATTTAACCTGTAAATATAGTTTTGTGTGCAAACATGTGTGGTTATTCAATTTAATCTAGGCCATTTACTTTTCAAGTCTATAGTATGGGGCTCAGTGTATTATTTGACAATAAATCTTTAAAATTATGCACAATGGTTTAAGATCGGGACCTCTGTGCATTTTTTGACAATAAATCTTAAACATTATGCACAATGGTTTAAGATCGGGACCTCTGTGTATTATTTGCCAATAAATCTTCAACATTGTGCACAATGGTTTAAGATCGGGACCTCTGTGCATTATTTGACAATAAATCTTTAACATTATGCACAATGGTTTAAGATCGGGACCTCTGTGTATTATTTGACAATAAATCTTTAACATTATTCACAATATGCAGTTTAAGATCGGGACCTTTTTGTATTATTTTACAATAAATCTTTAACATTATGCACATTGGTTTAAGATCGGTACCTCTGTGCATTATTTGACAATAAATCTTTAACATTATGCACAATGGTTTAAGATCGGTACCTCTGTGGAGGAACACGGGCGTCACATTATAGCGAGCAGGTTAGTTCTAGAATCGAACATTTTCATTCTTAATCCGAATATTAAATCTATATAAAGAATACTTTTTTTTGCTCTGGCATAGAGGGTAAAACATTTTTTAGGGTTGTACCGGCATGGTTTAGAAGTCAGAAGGTCTTTCAAAAGAATGGAGGAAATGGTCGACTGAACAATAAATTTTACCAATTTCAATAAAATTGTTGAGATATTATAAAAATATCTCCAAATGTGTCCATTTAATTTTGTTATAAAATAGTTTCGCGGTTTTTTTGCCTGGAGATTTACAAAAGAAAATGACAAAATTCTGACACAGTGCAGGAAAATACCATATAATTTCACGGGGGAAAATGTTTGAAGGAGTCGATACTAATCCCTTTCTTGTTAACTCACTGCACACCGTACATTTACTTTAGAGATATCAGGGCTGGGGAGAAAATAATGGATTCAAATCCCGATGTTCTCGGACCTAGGCTCACTCAGCCTGTTCCTTGCTGTCTAGGTACGTAAAACAAATAAAAATAATTACTGTTAAAAATTGTAGAAAAACTGTTTTTCTGTTGGAAATCATACATTTTGACATTTTAAGTATAAAGTATAAAATATTAAATATAAATATGTATTATTTATATTTGGGCTCTATAACTTTTGTTTTAATCTGAATGAATTCTTATTTACTGCAATAAAAATTGTCCGATTGACTTTTTATAAACGTTTTTTACAATCAAAATCTCTTCAAATCTAACGTTTTAAAGTTTGAACTTCGTCTTTGGCCTTATGTATATATATATACATATATATGCATAATTCCTTATAATTCCATGTTTTGACAAAGAAAGAATATGTTTGCAGTTGCTGGAAACTAAAAAAGTAAGAAAAGAATTCCATTCAGTCTCATTATTTCGTGGATAACCATATATGTAATAAATATACAGATTACCTTCTCCAGTCTCTATTTTTTGTGTAACAGTTCTAAAATACAATTGTGTAACAATGTCGTCTTCATTTTAGGGTGCCACAGAGGGGACAAACAGCTGTTAAAATGCCCCAAATGTGCTCTTCCTGTGTGTGGGGTGAAGTGTACCTCAAGTAGTGTGCATCAGGTACAGAACAGTACGACAAACATTGTGCAGTACAACAGACATTGTACGCAGTTTAACAGATATTTTACAGTACATCTGACATCACAGTACATCTGACATCACAGTACATCTGACATTACAGTACATCTGAAATTACTGTGCACTGTACACTGTACAGTCATGAGTTATGATCGAACATCCAAAAGAGAGACAGACAAGCATAGATTACTACTGTATATACATATATACTAGCTTGGGAACCCAGCGTGGACCAGGGGAGTCATCGTTAGTCCCACCGTTTACCCGCCCCTTGTCATAAATTACGATTTTAGCTATTTTTCCCAATAAAAGTCTGCCCACTACACTTAATATTTAAAAACCAGGCTAAGAACATTCCATCGGCTCTCCCGAGTTTCCCAATCGAAATTTGAGACAAATCGGTCCAGGGGTTCCTGAGTTATGATCGGACAAACAAACAAACACTCAAACAGACAAACAGAGATTACAACTTTTTAGATTTAGAATACTTTTTTAAAAATATTACAAATACATTGAAATTTTCCCTCCCTTTTTACATTCAACATTTTTAGATGGAATGTGCTGTAATATATAAATATAAGAAGAAGGATGCAGGCATTGTACTCAAAATTATCATAGACTTTAAAAAAGATCAAATTGTTTCATCTAAAATTAAAAGTTGGATATATCTTGTTTCTTATCCGTTCATTTGTTTTTTACTTTAATTGTTTTCTTCCTCTTAGTCGATTTTCAGCAAAAAAATTATGTGACAATTGTTTACGATTCTCTGGTTCAGATATATTTGGTTTGGAAACTGTGCTACCATTCCGAATCCTTGCTTTACAGTACACACAGGAATTCGTCTATTTTAAAAGTTGTAAATGAAATGAATAAAATGGATTTTCCGCCCGATGAGAGACGCCCACCTACTCGACTGGTTTAATTAAAATAGCAGGGTGATGGGACGAAGGTCTAAGTATGAATGAAGAGTACATTAATTCGAAATATAGTGTATAAAAATAGCAATTAAGCCATGAATTTAAGGTCGTCTTTTGGAATTAGTATTTTAATGCCTAAGCCTAATTAATCTAAAGATATAATAACTTAATAAATGTACGTCTCCTAAAGTAATTTTTATATTTTTAAAAAAAGAAGTTTTGCTATTCTGGATTCGAGACAAAAACACAGTCGTACGTAAGTGTAACGTGCAACAGTACTTTATTTGTAAACAGGATTTTTCTCACTTTACAGCAAGAACGACTATGCAATCAAAATAAAAACAAAGAAATTCGGAACTTTAGCAGACAAAACGGATTACAACTTTCTTATGATAGACGATCTCGAAGTCGTCTCTTAATCCCATTTTTGTTTGGAAACACTGTTATTTCTAAAAGATGTATAATGTGCGGAAAGTATCGCATATTTAAGCTGATAATCTCTGTAACTCTCTTATCTCTGGTTTCCAACCACTCATTTGTTTATCAAGAAACGATGCTGTATCTAAAATATTTAGAAATTTAAAGGGAGTGACCGGCTAGGCATGATAGATGAGCTGAGAGTGCAGTATTGTAGAAAATATATTTAGGTTTTTGGAGACCTAAATATGTTTACGACGTATAATTGCTGAATCTATGATTTACATCCGGATTGTCCATTTTGAAGGATACATTTAGAGAATCATGTAAATGTAACATAAAGTATACAGCTCTTTTTCAGCAATTGTACATTCTGTATAAACATCTAAAAGGTCTAAAATTAATCCATAAAATGTCTCTAGAATACTGCACTCTCAGCTAAACTATCATGTCTAGCCAGTCACTCCACTTAAAGATGAAGGCGAAGGTTTAGATCCATAGAAAATAGAATATATATTAGAGAGGAATTTAAAGAATCTCTCGGTATGAATTTTTTCAGTCCCTTTCAGCCTGAAAGGGAGTTGTTCAAAGTGTACAAATTATGTAAATGTTCACAAATTACGTGCAGTAGAGTACATTAATACAGTATGTTCCCTAGACTATTCATTTCAATTTCGAAATTTTTAAAGCTGTTAATTAAACTTGATAATGAATTAGGTGAATAAAAACCATCATTTGATTTATAGTTATAACGGAAAATCATCGTTTGTGAAGTGAAAGGCATAGAGTTGTGAAATGATCATTGGTCAATTATGAAACCAGCATATTTCATAATTTGGTTTTCTTTTAACATTAATTTTAGATTTTCTATAAAATGATATTCCAGGGCCCAAAAGGTTAAATAGCATAAATATGTGAAGTACACCTGCAGTATATTCTATTCTCTATGTTTAGATCTGATGAAATATTTCCACTTTTGTAATTAATTCCCTTTATTAGTTTACCTTCATTAAAAACATCTTAAAAGAATTCTTCAAGTGTTTTGTTGAGTGTTAATTAAATATGTTTTTACAAATTATAAACAAGATGAATTCTTCAGCCAGAAGTCTTCTTAAAAATTCTCTCTATGGAGTCTAATAAACAGGTATTATAGTTCTACAGTTCTAGATCAGACATTTTCCTTAATTCATATATAATCCTTTCATCTTGGCTTCTTTGGGGTTTTCTCAGCTTTTCCGTTTTCCTTTAATCTTTTTTATATCAATCTTTTCCTACTTTTTCTACACATTTTTTCAAACTTTTTTTAAAAAAATTTTATCTTTTTTCCTTAAATCCCTTTCTTTATTGCTTTTATGCTTCTTTTAATATTTTTCATTTTCATCCTTCATTCATTTTTTCTTTATTGTTAAAAATGACTTTTACCAAAGAACGTAGGGTCCATACAAATTGGGAAAGTTGCAACATTCAACTCGGATCGTAAATCAATCAATCTATTTCCAAACAAATCATTCAGATATTACAATTAATATAGTCATCGATTATTTTTCGACGCATTCGTATATAGTTAATATTTCATAATATTCTTGATTTTTTTAAAATAATATTTCGATGGCACTGAATTTTCGAACATTCCTGGAAAATATGAAATTGTTATCTTCATTATAAAAAATCTTTTAAACAGGAATAAATGTTTTCAAAAGTAACTCTCAGATCATGAAAAATAAGAAATATTATGAAATATCAACAATATTCAAATGCATCGAAAAATTATCGATGACTATTGTTTGTAATATCTGAATGATTTGTTTGGAATTACATTGATTTGTTTCTGATCCGAGTCGTATATTGCAACTTTCTGATTTTGTATTGACGCTACGTTCTTGGGTATGAGTCGCTTTTAACAATTTTCTCCTGATCAAAAGCGCTTATTTTTCGCATAAAGCCTATACCCCTTTCATTTTCGCGAACATTCCCTTTAACTAATTTATTAGGGGAATACCTTTAATTATTTAGTTGTAGTTGTAGGATACCTTTAATTAGATTATTTGTAGAATACCTTTAATTAATTTATTAGGGGAATACCTATAATTACATTATTTGTAGGATACTTTTAATTAATTTAATTGTAGGATACTTTTAATAGATTATTTGTAGAATACCTTTAATTAATCAATTTGTAGAATACCTTCAATTAATTCATTTTTAGAATACCTTTAAATAAATTAAGAAATACTACATCGTGGATTGTTTAAAAAGAATAATATGGATTAAAAACCCTCTAAGTAAATTCAAAGTTCTATATTATATAATTATTATATATGATATGTTACCAAAATTCATAATTTGATTAATCTTCAAAGGCCAAATATTTAATCTAAATATAACATTAAATATAATCTGAAGTCAGACCTGAAGGCGATTGTCCGAATGAAACGCTTTTCAAATTATAATGTTTGTTTTCCAAATTTTAACATTAATTAGACATTTTAAATTTTGTTAACTAATTTTTTGACTTTTCTTTTTGAAACTTGAATTTAAATTTAAACAGAAATGTAATTTGTTAATTCTAGAATTTTGTAGAATTTTCATTAAGAAATTAATATTTTAGGAAATAGTAAAAGGAAAGAATTGGAAGAGCTTGCAAGAAACTGTTGTAGGTAAACATAAAAGAAGTGTAGATGGGGTGGAAGGGGTTGAGGGATAACTAGAGGGAGGAGAAGGGGAGGGAAGGCATGAAGGGGGGGGGGGGTAAATCCCTATCCCAATTACGTAGTGGGCTGAGTTTTAATCATAAACGCATTTTTTGTTCTTTATTAATACTTATTCAGAATTCAGATAGTAAAACTTTGACGTCAATTAAGGTTTCCATGCGCAATAATGTTTTATTCAATTTCAGGAAAGATTGAGAAAATTTGTTAAAATTACCAAAATTTGTTAAATTACCTTTAATACTAATAACAAATACATTTTAAGTTAATTATCAATAACCTAGCCTTCGAGAAATATGAATTTTAAATTTGTACAGATAAGTTAGTCATCTATGGAGAAGGTTTTGCGCTATTATTGCCCAATTTCGCATTGAAAACCCCAACGTTAATGTGAGAAAAATGGTGAACTTAAAAAATTTCTTTTTAGATCCAATTTTGGCTTTGGGTATTCCTGACGTAGACAGAGATACTTTAGAAAATATATTCTTTGGCTTTTACAGAAAGTAAATCCCCCCTCTCTTTCCTTCTTAATTCTTTGGTTTTTACAGAAAATAAATCCTCCCTTTAAACTTTGAAGAATTACAGGATACTAAAACCCCCTTTGTACTTTGTTTAATACAATATACTTAAAAATCTGTCCCCACCCCCTGATGTATCATTTCTATAATATTACCGGGATTATTTATAAACAATTTTATAAAACAATATGAAGGCGTCGATGATAATAGACTGTAAGTGTGGTTGATTAATTGATTGATTGGCTCGCTACCTTCTTGACTAATCTCCTCTACTCAGGACGCAGATAGTGCATACATACATATATTTCAAACCTACAATAGATTGTAGTTATAATAAATGAATGACAATATTAATGAAATTAAATGACCATGTTAATATCATAAAATTGCAATGTTAAAAAAATTAAATGACCATGTTAAGGAAATTAATGACAATTTTAATTTTATAAAATTACAATGTTAATAAAATTAAATGATCATGTTAATAAAATTATAGACAATGTTAATATTATAAAATTACAATGTTAAAGGGAGTGTCCGCGAAAAATGAAAGGGGGTATAGGCTTAATGCGATAAAAAAGCGCTTTTGATCGCTAATAATCTTACTTCTATCTGTTGCGTCTAAAAGGAGAAAATTGTTAAAGACATCTCATACCGAATAACTTAGCGCCCATACAAATTGAGAAAATTGCAACTTACAACTTAGACTGTAAAAAAATCAATTTAATTTTAAACAAATCATTCAGATATTACAACCTATAGTCATCGATTATCTTTCGCGACATTTGTATATAGTTTATATTTTATAATATTTTTTTTTAACGGATTTCGAAAAATGTGAGTGGTGCGCGGCATTCTTAGATAGTTTAGAAAGAAGAGAAATAATCAAAACAAATTAATTCACAGATGGAGAAGTCCTGCGACTTTATTGGACCAGCTTTGTGACCTCGGAGCTCCACTAGTTTTGATTCTACACAAAAGCAAATATATTTGGTTACATACTATTGAAATTCAAATCAGCTTTGCTTCTCTCAATATCTCCTCATTAAAGAGCTGCAATTGAAAACACGCTAGATTTCAATCTAGCAAAAGGAACAGAGTTTTTGCCTCAAACTCAGATGTTCTTAACTCTATATCTTTAGAATCCGATGTCGTAGACCTTTGATATTTAAAGTTATGAATTTTACAGTATATAAAAGTCTAAGTTTGAACTAACAAAGGTTTACATCTTTAGGTTGCAAAGATATAAAGGATTAGAAAAAATTATTTTGTGGCAAAAAATCAGTTCCTTTACTTAAAAATAACGTAAGTTTAGTCATACTCAGCCATTAAAAAAAATCATCATAAAATATATCCTCCACTCTAATATAAAATATATCCTCCACGCTAATATAAAGTATATCCTCCACGCTAATATAAAATATATCCTCCACGCTAATATAAAATATATCCTCCACGCTAATATAAAATATATCCTCCATGATAAAATTATTTTTGTTTTCCAATTATTTCTTTTAAATGTAATGCCCACACAAGCCCCTTTCATAACAAAATGAAAAGTTTTTAATCTTCAAATTATTTTTAGGGATTATCCTGACCAACACATTCGAAGTGGTTCTTCCCTCAGCTCTTCTTATTGTGAGTACTGAGTACAAACTGGAAATAGATTAACATGAAGACCCCACAGCTAACTTTTGTAGAATATATGAATTTAAGGAATCTTACAAGTGGGATGGATATTTGGTAAAAAAAAATTACCACAAATTCGAATTTTCTAATCCCCGTATCTTAGCAACCTGATGACACCTGATATTTAAAACTTAATCATTTGATCTAGATAAATTTTTAGTTTTAAATACCTAAATTCTACGAAATTGGATTGAAGAGATTATAGGGATTAGAAAATCAGAGTTTGTGACAAACAAAAATGGTTCAGAAATAGGTTTAAAACGGACATTGAAGTTTTTAATGTCGGGTCACTTGAAATAACGTCCACAAATCCTTACAAATCCTAACAAAACTGAATTATTAACTTATTAAATCACTTATTATGTAAATGCAAAATTGGTGTTTCTCATGTTCAGTCTTACTTGAGTCTGAAAGTCCTTTTCTATAGTTTTCTGGTTCTCACTGTAGGTCATCTCATTTTTATAAAGTTAGTTCTCTAACTTCAGTGGTTTGGGTGCTAGGGAGGCTTTAGCAAAATAGCAAAAGTACGTCAGAAGAATTTCGACAAATATCAACATGTGACATTTTTTATATCTGATAACGCCGACCTTGTCAATTTAAAGGATAATCTTTTTCTAATGATACTCACAAAGGATGAGACTTCAGAGACGATTTAACAGAACGTATACTGTCTGTTCATTTATATTGATGATTCCCGGGCCGGCTACTACAATACTTATTTCTTTATTTGCCAAATCATCAAATAAGCCATTAAACGACTTTATTCAAGGCAGTAGAAGCTTATTTAAAGTATTTCAGGGCGTCTTTTCAGTCTAACTCTTTATGGGTAACCCTGTAAGTGACGCAGAGTATTTAAAAGATGTAAAGATGAAGAGTAGTTTCCCAGTCTCCAATTAATCTCAAGATGGATATTTTTTAATATTTTTTACCTTTTGAAGTTTAAACGATCAGTCCTCCAATTGATATCGTCAATTTTCAGAATTATTAATATTAAATACCATAAAATATTTTCTAATAATGAATATGATCTATGACTGATGTTTACTATTGTACTTTTTTCTCCAAAATACGATTAATGAGCTTTTCAAAATGTAAGGATATTCAACAATTGTACGTTTTCTTTAATAAGATGGAATCTGGACAATTTTCTCAATATCAATTTTGAAGATGTTACAATGGTAGACGACATTTTGGAAATTCCTAGTAGTTTTTATTGTTAAACTATGATACTAGAAAGTTTGGGTCTATGTCGTCAACTAATTCCTCTATATCCAAACAACTAAATATCTGCCAGTTTTTTTTCATTTTTCAATGGACTACAGACGTATTTTAAAGTGACCCTTTTAAAGGGTGGGGTGCTTGATTAACAAATGTTTATATTTAAAGGGTGTCCTTTCAATTTTTGTGGGATGTTAATATCTTTTTGTTCTGTCTAAAAATGGATGTTGTTCTTGTGGATTTTCTATAAAAGTGCTCAGAAACACGTTTAAAGGGAGTGTTCGCGAAAAATGAAAGGGGTTATAGGATTACGTCGAAGAATATTCGATGGTGATTGGTATTAATCTTACTCTTTTTGATGCGGCTATGTAAGGAGAAAATTGTTAAAAACGATTCATAACAATGAACGTAGCGTCCATACGAAATCAGAAAATTTCAATATTTGACTCGGATCGTAAAAAATCAATTTAAATCCTAACAAATCATTCAGATATTACAACCTATAATTTCACTTACAACTTGTTTTCACGGTTGGCGCTGGAAAATATGAAAATCAAAAATCATTGAAACAGGAATGAGTGTTTTCAAAAGTAACTCTCGGATCAAAAAAAAATATTATTAAATATCAACTATATACGAAAAAATCGATGATTATACGTTGTAACATCTGAATGATTTGTTTGAAATTAAGTTTTTTTTACAATCCGAGTCGAATATTGCAACTTTTTGAAGTTGTATGGACGCTACGCTGTTCGGTAGGAGTCGTATTTAACCATTTTCTCTTTATAGACGCCAAAAACCAAAAACCAAAAAAAACATATATTAAATTTTAGACAGAAAAAGATATTAACATCACACAAAGATTGAAAGGAATTGAAATTACATCGACAGTCGTCATAATTCACCCACCACATATATTCGTATCCTGTTTTAATATAGTTTTCTTTACATAATATACATTTTACACCCACCACATATATCCGTATCCTGTTTTAATATTGTTTTCCAGGGAATCTTTTATGAATCTAGTTTCATGAACCATCATTGTATTGGGAACACGAGGATAATTCTGGATAAAGGTGAGCTTAAGATTTGAGAGAAAATTGATGAAAATGAATGAAATGAAAAATCTTTGAGATTAGGAGAAACTTATGTTAATAGCTGAGATTCTCTAGACCCCCTCCCCCCTTGTGAAAAAATAATATATTTGTATTAAGACAATATCTACACCACAGAGTTAGGATTGGTTAGGGGGCCGAGCGATGCAACTAGGATTTTAGAATTTTTTTCCGGACGTTATTTAGGTAGCAATGGGAAGGATGATTAATGGAGGTTGTTTGAAAACAATACATATTGACTTAAAACCTACAATGAGGAGGGGGGGGGGGGGGAATGGAGGGAAGGGGGTGGGAGTAAATGGAAGATTTTAGTGAAGGAAAAATTAAATTTAATAAACATTCGATTAACTTTCGATTATTCAGTCGTTTTGTATGTAAGAAATGTAAAGCTGCTGATTTTGTAATTACATTATATTTTATTCGAATATATTTGCACAGAAATCTTTTTTGGAGAATTGTTTTTTATTAAAATGCTAATTATAATAGCTTTGCCAAAAAATGCAGCAAAAGAATTAACCATCTTCAAACGATACGTTAAAGTTACAATTGATATTTAATTAATAATTCTTATCGTAGTGTTTATTAAAAAAATCTGAAAAATCCCTTGAATTTAGGTGGTAAAATGACTGTAACTGCGAGTGTACCAATCAAGAAGAATAAACCAATTAAATTCAATTATGTAAAGGTCAGTTTTATTTTTGGTATTATTCTGATATTCACAGGATCGGATGGAAAGGAAAATATTCGGTATTTTTTTAACACATTATTTGATAACTAGTTTCTAGTAAACTAAAGTATTTCCCGGTAGTACTAGGAGTAAATAGGAGAAAATTGGAAATACCAGGACAATGTCTTGAGTACCAGGACAATGTTTTGAGTACCAGGAAAATGTTTTGAGTACCAGGACAATGTCTTGAGTACCAGGACAATGTCTTAAGTACCAGGACAATGACTTGATTACCAGGACAATGTCTTAAGTACCAGGAAGTGGTCTTGAGTAACAAGAGTAGGTCTAGAGTACTGGGAGTAGGTCTAGAATTCCAGGAGTAGGTCTTGAGTACTAGGAGTAAGTCTTAAGTACCTGGAGTAGGTAAGTAGGAGTAGGCCCATGAGTACAAGGAGTAGGTCTAGAGTACTAGGAGTAGGTCTGGAGTTTCACCAGTAGGTCTGGAGTTCCATTAGAAGGTCTTGAGTACCAGGTATAGGTCTGGAGTTCCAGGAGTAGGTTTTGAGTACCAGGAGTATGTCTGAGTACCAGGAGTAGGTTTGGAGTACTAAGAGTAAGTCTAGAGTACTATGTGTAGGTCTGGAGTTCCAGGAGTAGGTCTTGAGTACCAGAGGTAGGTATAGAGTACCAGAAGTAGGTCTAATGTCCAGGAGTAGGTCTGGAGTACTATGAGTAGGTCTTGAGTACCAGGAGTAGGTCTTGAGTTTCAGGAATAGGTTTTGAGTACCAGCAGTAGTTCTGGAGTACCAGGATTAGGTCTAGAGTACCAGGAGTAGGTTTAGAGTACTAGGCGTAGGTCTTGATTACCATGAGTAGGTTTAGAGTACTAGGAGTATATTTTGAATACCAGGAGTTGGTTTAGAATACTAGGAGTAGGCCTTGATTATATATATTATATAGGTCTCTTTAAGTACTATAACTGTAAAGACCAATTCAAGGGAATTGGATCGGGCACCTAGAAAATAATTATTTCTCCTGAACCTGCTCTAGGTCTTCTATATATATATCAAGGTATAGGTCAAGGTTCTATAATAAGGTTTCTTACTCTCGAAGGGCTCCAATGTACGGGAGACCATCGAGAGTAAGTAACCTTATTAAACAACCAAATTGTCTTGACTTTCTAATGTGTATAAGACAGCAGGAGCTCCTAGGGCATAAATATATCTCCTGAACCTGATATATATATATATATTATATATCAGGGTCTAGACTCTACCTGGCTGAGACAGCAGGAGCTCCTAGAGAATAAATATTTCTCTTGCGCCTGCGAAAGGTGTCTGGATCCAACGGAGCTAGGATCCTACGTCTCCGGTCACAGGTGAATATTACATCAATCCAATTATAAATCTTTAGATAAAAAATCTTCAAAAAACAAATATGGATATATTATGCATGATTTTTTTCTAGAGTTTAAACTGATTGACTAAAAGTAAATCAAACTGTATGATAATGATCTTAAAGAATGTTGAAAAACCCAAACGCGCACTTCCCTAATTTGTCGATTTCTACAGTTATGGATACCATTTCCAAGTCCATAAAGATGAAGAGCCATCATTCAGAGCAGGATTGACCGAATACGAAAACTTTTTGACTTCGCATTCCTAACATTCTAATTTCATCATGATTTTTTAATAATATTGCTTTTTTTCAATACTTTTTATTTTCAATATTCTAAGAAGAAATGAGCGTTTTTAAAAAGACAATTTCACACTTTTTTCTGTCAGAGGTCTAGTTTTTACCCGATCATAATAAAATTAATATTAATAATAGCTGTTAGCTGATAGGACCATATTTTATTTCAAGAAGGAATGTACTTACTTTATCCTAAAACTTCTCCTGGTGTAAATCAACTCTAACCTGGTCTTTTTGGGCTCAGCTTGCAAAACAAACTTGTAAACAGCATGAAAGGCTGGCATGCCAGCCTCTTCCGTCGTTAGCAATGGTTTAAATCAAAGTTTGGTTTACATCTGAAAATGTTCATGAAGTTAAACAATGAAAAAGAAGATTGCAAGGAAGAAATGAAAAAAGATCTCTGTCAACTGAAGCATAGTAAGGTTGGATAAGGCTCTCCAATGTAGGGTAATCAGTTCCATCCTCAACAGACTTAAAGAGCATTTATTCACAGCAGGGTTGATTAAATCCAATATTTTTTTCATATAGCCCTAACACCCTAGAGACATTGTGATATTAATCTCATTATGGTCGGGTATAAATTAAGCCTCTCAGAGAAAAAATTGTGAAATGTTTTAAACAACCTTTATCTGCATGAATTATATATAATTAGATGTTTAAAAGAAGAATGTGAAGGATCCGTGATACCAACCGATCCCTTGAATAAACAATCAGATTGGAAATGTGACAAGTGTCAAGAAATAGTTCCTGTTCAGAATATCAGGTGAGAGACCCTTTACATTGTCAGGAAATAGTTCCTGTTCGGAATATTAGGTCAGGAACCCTTTATATTGTCAGGAAATATAAGTTCCATGTTCAGAATATCAGGTCAAAAACCCATTATATTGTCAGGAAATGTAAGTTCCATGTTTAGAATATCAGGTCAGAAACCCTTTGCATTGTCAGGAAATGTATGTTCCATGTTCAGAATAATAGGTCAGGAACCCTTTATATTGTCAGGAAATGTAAGTTCCATGTTTAGAATATCAGGTCAAAAACCCTTTGCATTGTCAGGAAATGTAAGTTCCATGTTTAGAATATCAGGTCAGAAACCCTTTGCATTGTCAGGAAATGTATGTTCCATGTGCAGAATAATAGGTCAAAATATCAAGAACACTTGATGCTGCCGATAAGTTGTGTACAATGTACATGCATTGTCATTGAATATTATTGATGGAAACCTTTAAATATTGCCAAAAAAGAGTTTCTATAAATATTTTATTCAGTATTTCTGTTTTCCATAGGAAGACCCTGAAATGTTTGAGTCGGGACACTGAGAGCCTGGATAAGAATAATATGAAGGATTTGAAAAGACTGATCAATAAATATGAATCTAAATTACATAGGTAACTTGAGTAACATGAAAAAACGTCAACAATAAATACTAATCTAAATTACATAGGTAACTTGAGTAACATGAAACAACGTCAAAGAATAAATACGAATCTAAATTACATAGGTAACTTGAGTAACATGAAACAACGTCAACAATAAATACGAATCTAAATTACATAGGTAACACATGAAACAACATCAACAATAAATACGAATCTAAATTACATAGGTAACTTGAGTAACATGAAACAACGTCAACAATAAATACGAATCTAAATTGAATAGGTAACTTGAGTAACATGAAACAACATCAACAATAAATACGAATCTAAATTACATAGGTAACTTGAGTAACATGAAACAACGTCAACAATAAATACTAATCTAAATTACATAGGTAACTTGAGTAACATGAAACAGCGTCAAGGTTTGGTAGGAATAATGTTGATGGATAAGAACAAATTAAATGTCGTCTTCTTAATTTGCAGTCCAGAGTCTAAAACTAAAGAATGCGCGAATTTTAAGTTCGAGGTTAAAAGTTCTGTAAAATAAAGAATGGCTACTTGAATATTAAACTTTCTCAATTTTAAATTTGAATTTCCCGGGAAAATCTGAACCAATCAGAGAAAAGGATTTACGGAGAATATTACATAACCATCGCTAATCAGCTGATTATGTAACCAAAAACAAAACATATTTTGAGTTACAACCGTATTTTGGGTTTACATGCAAAAATTAATTAATCTAAAACGTGAAATTTCTTTAACAAGGTTTTCACTGTCAAATATACCGTAAAGTTGAATGCCACTTTCTCAGCTGAATGATGATTGAATAATAGACAAATAGGGAAAATGCAGGATTTCAAGATTTTAACCCTGTGTTTAAATTTTAACTCGTCGATTTCGGCGAGTTAAATATTTAACCACAGGGTTAAATATTTAACCTCACGGTTAAAGTTCAGGTTTAAATTAAGTCAGAAGTGGCATTTAACCATAAACTTAAAATTTAAGTAAAAACTTTTCGTTCTTTAGTTTTAGACTCTGTAACTATAATCTCCAGGGTTACTCATACATCAAAGTATAATAATGAGACTCAGTCTTTGGAAGTTGGAACCCAGCTTTGTCTGGAAATTAAATTTTCTTGATAAATTAAGCAATCCCAGGCGCAACTTGAGATTTTTTAACCAAGCTCAAATTTTGATTGGGGAGCTACAAAGAACCACAGATAATATTTAAGAAATCCCGGAATTAAATTAACATGTTGTTTATTGTTTTGAAATATAAATATTAATATTATGATTAAACCTTTGTGAATTTTAAGAGTGTTCACGTTCTTTCCATGTTTAAAGAGATGATCTATCGATCTACGTAGATTTGTAGATTTGTAGATTTGCATTATAAAACAAGATATTCGTATATGTTTAGGGAACCTAGGGGTAAACCGGGGTTACAAAGGGAAAATAACTTTTTTAATCCACGAGCTTCGCCAGACACTTCAGCTAGTTTCTAATAATATTTAAATATGTTTTACAAATATTCAGGCAAAATGGTTTATTAGCTGACCTGAAGCAAATGCTAATCTCTGGGTATGGTCGTCTTCCTGGATTTCAGGTACTATCAACTGTGATGTGTATTATTTGTGTATTGTGTTATCTGTACAGTGTACAGCGTACAGTGTACAGTGTACAGTGTACAGTTTACAGTGTAGAGGGTACAGTACAGTGTACAGTGTACAGCGTACAGTGTTCAGTGTACAGTGTACAGCGTACAGTTTACAGTGTAGAGGGTACAGTACAGTGTACAGTGTACAGCGTACAGTGTTCAGTGTACAGCGTACAGTGTACAGCGTACAGTTTACAGTGTAGAGGGTACAGTACAGTGTACAATGTAGAGTGTAGAGTGTACAGTGTACAGTGTACAGTGTACAGTGTACAGTGTACAGTGCACTGTGTACAGTGCACTGTGTACAGTGTACAGTTTACAGTGTACAGTTATAAAAGTTAATGAGTCAGCTTCAGACTCTTTCCTTAAAAATGTGTAACAATATTTTCTTCAAAATACAGTCATTGTAATTTAAAATAATCCTCCATAGAAAAGAGGGCTATGCTATATTCACAAGAGTACCATTAGGCTTCATCTGCTAACGATTTACACCGCGTGTCTGTAGCAATAAAGTTACTTTTATATTAAAACCACAATTTTCTAGATTTATAAAGTATTTAACTCTAAAAATATCCTTTAAACAAGTCTGTCATTGTACAATATCCGAGACTCAGTCACCATTTTCTCAAAACTATTTAAAAAGGTGTTTTACTAGATCCATGATAAATTCTAGTATAGTATTGTTATAAATTTAATATTGGAAACATTTTGAATGTCGTCTTACTTTATCAGATTTAGGAAGAAATACCTTTTAATATTGTTAACAAAAGAGTCGCAATAAAAAATATCTAAATACAACAATAATCCGTAAAAAGCGAAATAAAATAATCAGCAATTTTAAATCTGTATCTTTACATTCTGAAAAATAATGGAAAAAAACTCCTTTTAGTCCGCTTTACTCCACTTTACTTGGTCCATGAGGTTTTATAGAGGGTTACCAACAAAGGATAACTCTGTAAAGACGACGTAAAACTCTTAAAAAAGAACGAGTCCAAGGTTAAATTAAGTCATCTACCTTAATGGTTTACTTAATGATTTTTTAAAGAAAAAACAATTTTACAGTTGGAGGGGATAATGAATATAAGGAAACAGATAGTAAAACTTTGGTACAGTCGATTCTGAAGTTTCGTCCTATATGATAAACCCTGTATATATTATACTGTACTATAGGTAGAGGAAATGAATGAGACCGACCATAAACTTAAAGGGAGTGACCGGAAATGTATGGTATAGTTGAACTAAGAATGTAGTATTGGGGAGAAAGTTTTTGGGATTCTTTTGAGACATATAAAACGTTTTAATAATGTATAATTACTGAGTTTGAGCGCAAAGTCGACTTTCAAAATCATTAATTTGGGGTGTTTCGTTAGAGAATGGATTTTTAAGAATTATTAAATAACGATGACAAAAGAAATGTTACACAAATTTTACAGTAAATAAATGATTATACACCATTAAAAGTTTTAGATGTCTCAAATGAATCCTTAAAAATACTGCATTCTCAGTTCAACTACCATACATTGCCGGTCACTCCCTTTCAACTGAGGTTGGTCTATGAGGTTCTAAATATATTCTATATAATGAAACAAGGCATTCGTAAACGGCTGGACCGAATTGGCTGATAATTTTTAAAGAAACCTTGGGGTATCCCGGGGATAATTTTACGGGCAACGCCGTGCACTTCAGCTAGTATATATATACTGTACTAGGTAGAGGATATGAATGAGGCCGACCATAAACTTAAACTGAGGTTGGTTCATGAGGTCCTATATATATATACTGTATACTAGGTAGAGGATATGAATGAGGCCGACCATAAACTTAAACTGAGGTTGGTTCATGAGGTCCTATATATATATACTGTACTAGGTAGAGGATATGAATGAGGCCGACCATAAACTTAAACTAAGGTTGGTTCATGAGGTTCTATATATATATACTGTACTAGGTATGAGGATATGAATGAGGCCGACCATAAACTTAAACTAAGGTTGGTTCATGAGGTCTTATATATACTGTATACTAGATAGAGGATATGAATGAGGCCGACCATAAACTTAAACTAAGGTTGGTTCATGAGGTCCTATATATATACTGTATACTAGGTAGAGGATATGAATGAGGCCGACCATAAACTTAAACTAAGGTTGGTTCATGAGGTCCTATATATATTGTATACTAGATAGAGGATATGAATGAGGCCGACCATAAACTTAAACTAAGGTTGGTTCATGAGGTCCTATATATATACTGTATACTAGGTAGAGGATATGAATGAGGCCGACCATAAACTTAAACTGAGGTTGGTTCATGAGGTCCTATATATATATACTGTACTAGGTAGAGGATATGAATGAGGTAGACCATAAACTTAAACTGAGGTTGGTTCATGAGGTCCTATATATATATTGTACTAGGTAGAGGATATGAATGAGGCCGACCATAAACTTAAACTAAGGTTTGTTCATGAGGTCCTATATATATATACTGTACTAGGTAGAGGATATGAATGAGGCAGACCATAAACTTAAACTGAGGTTGGTCCATGAGGTCCTGGGAGCCCTTGATATTGTGGACCCGGGACTAAGTCTCGGCAGAGGTATATTTTGTAAATTTACAGTTTTTCCATATTTCCCATGTAGCAACTTCCCAAATGTGCAATTTTCCCAAAGCGGAAACTTCACAAAAGTAAAGTTAGTCCTTCTGAGGCGGCACAGGCTGCAAGAGGGGATGGGCCGAGCGTTACGGCTAGAACAGGTAAGGCCCGGACCACTGCAGCTATAGGACAGATTTGGAAAGTTGCAGCTTGGGAAGAAGTGCACATTTGGGAAGTTGCCGCTGGGGAAGTTGCACATTTGGGAAGTTGCCGCTTGGAAAAGTTGACATTTAGGAAACTGCAAAGAAATAGGGATTATAAAATCAGAACTCAGTTTCTTTCCATCTAAGGATTGCTTCTGTTTGAGCTGCACACTACTCTAGTTATCCTCTCTAACCTGGAGTTTGAGAAGAAACAAAACCCAAACCAGCTTCTTATCAGGTTACTCTCCTTATATAAATGGGATCTTTAATTCTTTTTAATAACTTTAATAACTTTATTTGGTAGAGACATTAAATTTTTCAGAAAAATGATATATGATAAGAATAACATCAATCATATACTATACTCTATCCATCTTTTGGCTTTAGTTGATTTACATCATTAAGCTAATAGAAAAGTAATTGCATGGATTCATTATTTAATATTTGAGAAATACTCGTTTTTCGCACAGGTTGTGGTATAAATGTTTGAGGTACATAAATTATAAACTAATTAAACTAAGATTTTTGCATTATATATATATATATCAATTGAGGGATGGGGTCATTAATGGGACTGTCGTTGTAACTTCTATTTTAGATTATCTCCCATTAGATTAAGGGTTACTTGCCTTATTCACAACCTGACAGTAACTATTTACCTGAGCGAACAGATATCCTTGATCATTTTAGATTTTAGTTTCTCTATGAGAGAGAATTTTTACAGCAGGGGAACCATTGATATTTTGTAATTTCCGTCGAAAAAGTAATTTTATATTTGATGTGATTTTTTGCTTTTTTCAGATCATAATATACTGAAGGATTAATAAAGAAAGAAAAAAGTTTGTCGGAGGAAGATGTTTTATTGATGTTTCTTAAATCTTACTTAAGCGGTGACAAATTTTTCAGAGGCCAATTTTTAAATACTTTAAGATTTTGAACAGCATGGGGTAGTTTTGCAGAAAAGATAAAAACCTCTCCAATTTCTAAACAATTGTTTTCAAAATATATTTCTAGATTACTGGAGGCGGAAAAATATCTGGCGGAGGCAGATACGATTATGAAACTTGAGCCTCCAACCTCTCCTTACGGACATCTATCCTCTACAATTTCAAGGTTGTTTTACTGTATTCTTGTTTGGAGAAGGGAGGGGGTCATCGGAGGGGAAGAAAGTCAACCACAAAAATTTCCCGTCGGAGGCACCTCAAAATCCTCGTCCTTCAAATATTATTATTTTTAAGTGTTTGATTCTCCCAGATAAAATTATTTTTTTTTAAGAATAAGAAGCCGGCCAAGTTAGTGCAAAAATGAAATATTAAATTATTGTACATAAAAAAATTCAATTGAATTAAAGTGTTCAAGTTTAATGTTTCAGATATTCCTGGTGTAGAATGCCGCAAATAATTTCGAGTTTATAGAACTTTTTAGAATTTTTTTTGTTAATTATAGTGAAAACCATAGAACTTTTTCTTGTGGTTCCATGGTGAAAATGATAGGCAGAGGTATGCCAAATATTTTGTTATTTATTTTATATCGCAAAGGTTAGCTGTTACGGAGGCAGAAGAGATTTAAGTTTTACCTAAATAAAGTTTGACATTATTCTCATGGGTTTGAAGATTCCAATAATCCATATTTTATGCCCTAACATGGCAAGATTAAAAAAACTTTTTTCTTCGAGAACTGAAAACTTTAAAACACATAATAAACGAAGGACGAGGATTCCGAGGTGGCTCGGAAGAGAAAATTAGGTGAATGTGGCTCGGACGAGAAATTGTTGTGACTGGCATTCCTCCCCTTCGACACCGTATGTTGTACAGAAACACCAAAAACGCTAAAGGTTGTTCGCAATGTTTAATTACTGAAATAATACAATGTTCAATTTTTAAATAATGCTAGATCTTGATTGTTATAATTTAGGAATCGTATTGAACTCGGAGAGTATATTCAGACTGTTAAAATGATGTGAATTGCCACAAAAAATCTCTTGGAAAAAATTTGCTTTTTGTTAATTTTACATTTTTTGTTGTTAACATACTTGAATAAGACAATCTATTATCTAATATGTAAATTTACTGTATAAACTTTATTTCTAGTTTTATAGGAAATGTTTTGTACTTTGTTTAGATTGATGTCAAATAAATTTGAAGTTTTTATTTTGGAATCATTCTTGCTATTGATCTTATTCAATATTCATTGTTTATGGTGATATAAGTGTAAATCATGAAAATCTCGGGGAAAGGGAAAACTTGGCTGTACCTCTCCCCCCTTAGAACTTGCAAATTCGTATTCATATCTTATAGTTTACACCAAAATTGAAGAAAGAAAATAAATATGCGAAACCCTGCCAAACTTGATATTTAATTCAAATTTAATTTGAATGACATAAAAATATTTTTAAAATTATTTTGTTGAATTTTCTAGTTTTTCATTGAAGATATAATCTTAAAAAAACCTCCTTAAGCTAAGCCCCCCCCCCCTCCCCCTCCAATACTGAGGTTCCCTTGAGACCTTGTGAGATGTATATCTATGGTATTCAAGTTGACACAAGCATTATTCAGAACACTTATATATAAAGGGGAAGAAGCCTTATAGGCTTTTATACAGTGATAACCAGAAAACTCTGAAATAGAAAGACAACTTTTAGATTTCAAATTATGATTTCAAAATTTCAATGAGCATGAGACACAGCAATAGTGCAGTGGAAACAGACCAATTTAACAAATAAGTGATGAATAAACTTTTTGCTTTGTAACAACATAAATTACGCTTAAGTATTGCTATAATGTCGTCTTCCTAATCCATTGTTTTCTGATTATCACAGTAGGGTGTCGAAAGATACATTCAAAAAATAGTTTAAAAGAATATTTTTTGTAGTAAAAGAGACTGAAAGCAGAATTCCACGTCACCCTCCATGCAAAAATTGCAAAGCCCGATTCACCACGGTACCATTGAAACCTTAATCTGATCAAAAATGTGGAGAAAAACGTCGTTTTCTGTTTTTTCAAGATCTCGTTTGTCTTAAATAAATACTTACTTTGATAATATGATTGCCTATCGATCGTAAATCTTGAATTTAACTCTTGATCTCGATATTAATGTTGGCACTTTTAAATTTGAGAACCAACGCTGATTAAATGCTAATTAAAGTTACCTCTGCATAGTATGACTATCACAGCATATTAAAGTGGAATTAAATTAACCTGAGAAGATATGATATCCGTATCTAGGAATGTTAACGTTTTTATTTTTTTTATGATAAACGATCGTTTCGTTATGAAAACGACGATGAAAAATCGAAAGCGAAACGATCGTTTTTTCAAAAGTTTCGTTTTTTAAAAATGGTCGTTTTTTTTAAATGGTCGTTTCATTTACGATCGTTAACTACGACCCTTCGTTACCGATCGTGAACGAAGAGAGGATACCGACCTGAAGGGAAACTGTACTTATCATTGAGTAGTTTTTAAGAAAATATCAAGATGTTTTAGCTCCCCCACAACTTTTTAACTTCATGTAAGACGACATTCAATAAAGTTGCATGTAATTATTTTTTCAAAAATGATCGTTTTTCCAAAAACGACTTTTTTCATAAAGTTCGTCGTTTCGTTAACGATCGTTAACGACAACCCATCGTTAACGATCGTTAACATAATTGTCAATAAAAATTTGTTCGAAAACGTTCGTTTTTTAAAAAAACAATCGTATAAAAAACGGTCACAAATCGTTTGTAAAAAACGATCGTTTTCAAAAACGATCGTTATTCGTTTTCTAAAAGTTCAAAGCGATTAAAAAACAAAACAAAAAACGATCGTTTAACGATCGTTTTCAAAATCGATTAACAGCCCTGTCCGTATCATTGTTGTTTATCATATTATATTCGTTTAAAAGAGTTATCAATTTTATTTAAAATATCCGTATCAGCAACACTGGATTAGGAGAGCAGAGTAAGGAGAGTTAGAAAGCTAGCTTGGAGGATAATATCTTGAGGTTACAGGGGGGAAAAGGGATCAGGGTGTGTATTAAGGGGGCTGGGGGGATGGTTTGGAATTGGGGCAGGATTATCTAAATAAGCCAATATCACATTCGTTTACCCCATTACAGAAGAGAAATTGAAGGGGAGCTAATTTTATAGAGCCACTAAAGTCTAAACTAGAAAGATATATCTATATATATATATAATATTTACGGATATAACATTATTTTGTTAAAGTGAACCAAAACAATAAAGTGAAACAATTACCTTCAATCCAATATCCTTTGTAATTATTATGATCTTTAGGCCTCAGAAATGTTGTTAACTAAAAATGCATTTTTTAGATGCTCCATTGTGTAAGGTGTGGAAGTAGGGGGGGGGGAG